AAAACAGTTGCTTTTACTGTCCTTTTACATTATTTACCTTATAAGTGGTAATAATATTAATAAAAAAAAGTTCTGAGCTACCCTTATTTTGCTTCAAAGTTCTTTATTTGAAATTTAAGTTTTTTTCCTGAAATTTCCCTCTTAAAATGAAGGTGCGTGTTATACGCCTGTGCGTGTTATACGCCGATAAATACGGTACCTGATTACCAGTGGCTGTAGACAAAATAGCAGAGCATATTAGAAACACTCTCGCATTAGTGACTTAAAAGCAAATGTGCTAAAAATAATGTTCTAATCAAGCCATATTTCTTGCAGGCCTGGAAGATTCAGAAGGGATCATTACAGTCTATTATGGTGTATGATTTATCCATAATGCTAAGTGGTAAATCATGGCTGGATTCATGAATTGTGCTTAACCAAAGCGGGCAAACCATAGATTGGCTTAGCGTGTTTTACAGATTTTGTATCCCGGGATGTGGAATGGGATATATATTATATACCCATGTTAATGGCATATATATTAGTGGCAAAGTATATTCGTCTAGAAACATGAAATATAAATACACAAATATAGAAATAAAATATGCCTTGCACACTGAAGTTTTTTAATTCTAGGTCCTTGGAGTTCCAGGTAGGTGTAAAAAAGGTCAGACTGGAAATTTTGGATAGCTACTATCACAGCTATGAAAACAAGTAGTCTGATCTGATATGAAGAAGCTGCCAATGCTATTTTCTAGGATAAGATTGTAATAATACTATTTTTTTTAAAAAAATGTGTGAGGTACACAACTAATATACAAAGTCTAAGTATTTATAACTAAGCATGGTGTACAACCAATGGAATCCTTTACTAGCAATCTTTGCTTAGAAAGCATGGCTGCCATTTAGCCTAAAGAAAAATCTGTCTTGGCTCCATGTACATTTGACATGTAAAAAAAGAGAGCCTTGAGGCTAAAAGTATATTATACTCTCTTCCAGAATTAGAATTCTGAAAATGTCAGTTCTGAACTAGCTTTCAGCCAGCATTCAAAATGCACAGGGTTATGCGTGGCTGAAGTCAATATGCTTGTATATGTGCATGAATGAAGTGGAACAATTGGAAATCATGCATATGATTTGCACTGTAATGGAGCTTTTGGTTCCCTAGGGCAAAACACAATTTACACAGTTTCCCAATTTCTCTGCCACAATAATGTGCTTAGATAGCTGCTACTATGAATACCATGAAATGTTGAAATCATAGGTCTTTTATCTCTTTGGGGAATTGCTTCTATTTGTTAAGGTTGCTTTCATGTGAATGCTGTCTACAGATGTGCTGGTCTTTGAATGTGCAGCTGTAAAGCTAAGAAAACAGACGGGCGCTAACTCAGTTGAGATTGAGGTTGGCTTAATTGTCTCTGATGAATTTTATTTTTAACATAGCATTCTTGTGATCAAGCAAATTTAAAGATTACAGAAGACATTTATCCATACACGTGTAAATGCATATTGCCTGACAAAAAGGGATAACCTGCCAATCATCTCCTCTAACACCTTCAATAAAACCGAGAACTTAAGGCTTAATGAAGGATCCGTAGTTGAAAATATTTGGGACTCTTGTTCCTCAAGGAGTATTTGCAGGTCTCAACTGAGAATGTCTCAGTTCTGTGTAAAAGCTAATCAGAATAGAAGGAGTTGCATTAATGAGATCTCTGAGGCCCATAAACTGTTTTTGTCTTGTAGTACCAGCGTGATACCCTCTGCAGTGCAGGTTTATTGTGCTGCATTTTTAACCATCTATCTTTGCCTTTGGTTAGTTGGCTTGTTTAAAATATATGGATAGAAAATGGCACTGTTACTTTATTAGGCTGGCTTCAGCTAATGATGACATTATAAATTGACATTTTTGAGCTAGAAAAACCCTCCCTGAAAATGCCTTTTTTTTGAGGATTTGTGCCTTTCAATGAAGGATATAGGCCTTTGTGGGAGATATACATCTATCTGTCTTTACAGCTGCCTACAATATCTGAGAAGTTTCGTGAAGGGAAATTCACTAGAGGTAGCTTTGTTTTGGCTAGATTCTGGCTAAATCCACTAGAGGTAGCTCATATTGGCTAAGTTTCTTGCATTGCACCAATTCATAATTGCTTGGATTTGAGTCAGTGTGGTATATAAACCTAACCATTGTGGTTGGTAAACATGGTATTAGGTGTTAAAAACCCATCAGGACTTGTTCAATAAACCATGGGTAAAGCAAACCCAGACTAAGTATGATAAATCAGCTGCCGATTATCTTCTTTCAAACTATATGAATTAAACTGCATTCTCTGTTAAAATTGTGTTAATACTTTACACAGGAGAGGCAAAATGCTCTCTGGAAGATGTTAATGTAGATTAAAGTTGACAGTCTTTAGTTTTAGCTGTGTTGTCAATTAGCCTGGTAGCTTAAAAAGGTAGATGTTCTTCTGGGATTAAAAGGTAGGTTGAAAAATGAGTATTCACATTTAGGAAAGAAAACTTATAACCTTTCCTCCGTTCCTCCTTTCCTTCCAAACGTATAAATTGCTTTGAAGTCTTGGAAGAAAAAATATGTTTTACAGGTACATCATATAAATAAGCAATTTTGTTCCTTTTTCATTCCTCCTTTGTTCTAGTTGCTATTCAGAATTGTAATCAAGTATTTACTTTGCATTATATTATTATTTCCATTGCATCTTCTGAGTGTATGATATCGTTCTGACATTTACCAACACCATTTTATTTTCTAAAATTTAGTTGTTGCAAAGGTGTGCAGATTCTTCGTCCTCTATGTTTATTCAGGGCACTATAGCTGCTTCTGGGTCAAAATCATACTTATTTATACTTACTAATTTCAAATTTTAGTGTGAACCTCTGTTCTTTTTGCTAAACATTTTTAATAAAAATAAAGGCTGAGGATACATTGGAACTAAAATCCGGATATGGCAGGGGAAAGCAGATGTGATTAAAGCAAAAAGGAGGAGGATTAATATGTCAGATCTGTCCAGAGCTGTTTGTGTATGTGTGTAATATTTTGTACTTCACACTCTAAACCTACCAGGTCCTGGGGAAACCTTACCTTTTTTAAAATCATGATTTTAACCAATTCCATCCAGCCTTAAAAACACAAAGCTTTCATTTTTACCTGCCAAAATGTTTCCCATGGCATTATGAGTAGGCTTTTTTGTTGTTTTTAATAAATACTTAAATCATCTTTTGTTGTTATTTACTTTAACATTACATCTCCTGGGCCAGTTCAGACGATGGCATTGCCAACTACAACAAAACCAGCTGCCAAAGATAGGGATGTGAGATTGATGCTTTTGCTTTCTAAACACATGTGCAAATAATTTCCAGAACACTGGCTGCTGATGATCATCTTTGCCAGAATGAAATAGGCTGGTTAACGCTACCTTCTGTCATCTAACAATTTTCCTTTCCCAATCAGGGCTCAGAGAAACTGTTTTTGAGAAAGTTGTAATTTTCAGAAATTTCTCCTATATTCCTTGACTTATAGTGGAGAAGCTCACTGCTTCCTTATTCCATTTCTTAATAATACCCTTTCCCCAATCTTGTGTGTCTTCCTGATTTCTTGACTGACAGCTCCTATCATTCCCAGCCTGTACCCATGTTGACTGGAGTTGATGAGAGTTGTAGACAAGTAAAGTAGACAGAGAGCATCAGGTTGGGGAAGTTGCTTCAGGTTGGAGGGTCCCAAGGACACCTGTGTCTTCCCTGAAAATGGTCCCTGAATTGTAAATTTCAGTGTGATGTCAGAAGAAATAATTGAAGATATGAAGAGTAATAATTTTAACTGTGTTTAATTGGTTTAACATTAATTAAATGAAATTAAATGTTTCCTGACTTTCTCAGCTTGTTGATACATAATACCGTACACTAAAAAGCCAGGTACCTCCCAGCCACATCAAGGTAGTGTTCCCCTGTCATTATACCCCACATGACTGTCATTATACCCCACATGACCAATCAACAAACAAATAAAAAAATGGATTCCAGTGTTTGATAGATCTTCCAGTTTACATCAAACATGGTGGCTTTACACCCTACAGCAGGGAATGCCAAGCTACCATGAAGAACTGAATGGAAATAACTGGCCTCAACCTAATTATAGTTGGATGTAATTTTTTTGTGCAATACATATATATAGATGCTCACTTGAAGGAGTGATATTGGAATTGGCCCTTGAGATCTTCCACTGCCATCTGCCTGACATGGGTAAAACATAAGCCATTTGGAACAATCCCCGGTTTGTGGACTGGCAGCGGGCTGCAGCTTTCCAGAAATTGGGCAGGATGTAGGCAGCACACGAAACCACGCCCCCTCCGGTCCATGAAAAAAGCCTCTTTCCAAGGAACCGGTCCCTGGTGGCCAAAAGGTTGGGGGCTGCCGGCCTAAAGAATTCCAAATTTCTAGAAGTTTCTGGAATTGCTCTTTTCATCTCACTAAAGATTTCCTGGAGAATTCTTGGGTAGACTAAAGAACTTTTTATGAGCTCTGAAGAAGCACATTGGAGTATCTGTTCTAGCTTCATTGGGAAGTTAGAACAGATAGCTGTACTTAAGCCATTTGAAGGTGATTTGAATGTATTGCACAAGCATGAATCTTGATCAGTCACCCTTAATCATATGAAATGCCATATCCAAGTTAAATTTTCCTTTCCCATCAACAGAGACTCAAATGGCACCTAGGTTATTAAATGTGTTTGCACATGTCACTAACATTCATTGTCCTGTCTCTTTTTCATAACCAGCGGTAGAAATACTACTGCTAATTTCATTATCCATGTTTCTTTCTTTTTCAAAAATTATGCAATTTCCGTTCATTTTGTTCATACATACTTTTTGTTTCTGTTATGTTATGTAGTCTTATACCAGTGGCTAGAAGCCGACCGCCATGGCAGGAATTCAGATACTGCAAAAAGAACATCAGGTAAAAATAAACATTAAAAAAATGGGGGATTGCTAATTTTAACTACAGGCTTTCAGTATCCATTTCCATCTTTTCATTAAATTCTATTCATTGATTATTTACTTTAATTATTTTAATCAGCAGTTATCATCTTTTTCCTGGGGAGATCTAAATTAGTAAACTAACTGCCATGTGCTTTTTGTTCCCTTCCTTACCAGTTCTAAATACATACACACATTTTGGTTTTGCTCAGGGATTTTTGTTGTTAATGGTTTGCTTAATAATGGTCTATGGAAGCCACAATTGGCTGATTCCCCATACCAGGCCCAACTATAAACCCAAATCATAGTGCTTGTGATTTAACACTTTAAGCCAAACCCCAGTAAACCATATTTTAGCTGATATGAACCTATCTAATGTTAGAATTATGTGTTTTATTTTGTCACATTTGGGAGTTTTCATCTGGGCTGCTGATATTCTCAAGCCTGAAAGCTACAAAACGAAATCTCATTTTGCATTGATGGCAGTTGTATAGAAATCTCCAAGTCTACCATTTGCACTTCATAAAAGGAAGATAGCAAACATGTGGCGTTATTTATTAAAATATTTAAAACTTGCCTTTGGGCTAGCAGATTCCACTTCCACTCCCAATACTAAAAACATAGCATCCCCGTTATTATTATTTTTTAAAAAGTCCCTATAAAGGGTAATTAGTAGCAATAATCACCATACAAAGTGGAAAAGAAACTGATCAGATAATGAAATGCTCTTTAAAAAGGGCTTTACTGGGCAATCATTAGAAACAATGGACTAGTTCTGAACACAGGGAATGTTGAATGAGGATTATGTAAGGAGCATGTCAAACAAGAAGTTTTTATTTGTGTTGCCAACAAAGGCTGGACTTAAGGCTGGGCTCAAGATCTTGGTTGCAAAGCTCTAGATGTCTTCCAGATAGCAACCAAGAGGTACAGTAAATGTTAACTGTTTGCTTGCTTACTATGTTATTTGTGGTTAACTGGAGTTTTGCAGCCCAGATCTGTTGCTCCATTCAGGCTAAATGATCAAGTGAAAAGCTTTATGAAGTAATTCAGAAGTGAGGCCTGGAAAGTAGGCGTTTGTTTCTACAGCCTTAATAACAAAGAATTCTTAACATTAAAGAACTCGGTTTACAGCAGCAGTCCTCAATCTTTCTGGCTTCAGGGCCTGATTTTGCACGCAACCTAGATCCTGCGCATGCACAGATGAAGTTGGACAGTCCAACCTATCAAAAACAGTACTGTAAAATGATTGGGGGCTGCTGCTCTAGTCTAGGGCACAATTTCTCCATCATTGAACCAAGAGATGATAGCAAGTGATCACTTCCATAGATTAAAAACCCTTGAAAAATCAATTCATTGCAAGTACAGATCCCATAACAACCATAATTACAAAATAGAATAGAGAATGAGCGCTTCTTTTCAAACCACTCTTCATGCATGATGGGAAGGAGATTAATTTTTCTTTACCTAGTTTGTACAAACTATAGCTTATTCACAAAAGAAATCTGGAACCCAAGTTAGATCATGGAATGAATTCCTGGTTTAAGAACAAATGTAATCATACTTTGCTATCTTTGGATGGAAAAGTAAAGTATGGGTTACTTCAGCCTCCAAGCTGAAGCTTTTAGTCTTTTCTCCTTATATGTGAAAAGGGAATACTTACACCTATAAGTTACTGTTGCTCATTCTTGTAATAACCAATAATGGTATGTTGTACCTAAATGTAGCTTAATATGCTTTTATACAACCCCTCCCCAAATGTAAGAAATGAAAGGCCAACTCCACCGAGAATAAGCAGAATCACTAAGATTTGTCTGTCATGACATACAAATGAAATAGTTTTCTTATTAAAAAAAAAGCCAGGGATATTTTTACACCAGTGGCAGATTGCATTTGCACAAAATTTGTGACTAACTTTAATCCTAAATGAGTGGGCTGAGAAGAGTTTTGTGTTTTTAATCAGCTCCTTCTTTCTGTGGTGGTACTAATCTTAGCCCTTACTGATTCAGCTTTTTCAGAACAAACTTTTTAAGTCTTTCCTTTTGTGAGTAACATTGTTTAAAATGTTTAGGATATGACATGTTTAGGAGTATGATTGGAGCCTAAGAGGAAGAGAGCAGAAGTCTTTGTTTTACCCTTGCTAGTCCCTTGGGGCTATTGGAAAACATTGGTCAGTATTAGCGTTACCACTTTTAAAGTTTTTTTTTCCCTGAAATGGATTTGTGAAAGCAGCTACGGCTATAGTTAACTATCTTTCACATCATAGAAAATAATAGTAAATGGAAGCCTCTGCCAGATACTTTTTACTCAGCAGAACTACTGGGAACCAATGCTAACTGAGCAATATGTGTAACTAGACAACAGAAAAAGGATGAATGTGTGAAGGATTGCTTTTCTTTCTTCCTTGTGATGCAGCTACTAATAGCTATGAGAAACCAGCCATCTACAAGAGAATTGGCGGGGGAGAGAGAGGAAAGGATTCCATCCCAACTCTGTGATGAGAATGTATGCATGAAGGAATGAAGTAAAGGATGTATTTATCCATATGAGCCTTGAGCCAACATGGGTTGTGTTGTGTAAATCTGCCCATCAACTTTTAGGTGACCCTAGCCCACAGGTCGGCAACCTGCAGCTCCAGAGCCGCAAGTGGCTCTTTGAGCCTTCGCCTGTGGCTCCCAGCCTCCTCTGCCATTTGCAGAGAGACAGAGAAAAGAAACAGAGAGAGGCACTTGCGCTTCCCTGCTTCTCTCTCTGTCTCTCTCTCTGTCTCTGTGTGTGTGTGTGTGTGTGTGCGTAAAAAAGAGAGTAGACTCACAGTGTTCTCCTACAAGCTGAAAAGCTTTTTGGGCGGTGCTCCTCCTTTTGCTGCGTCTCTGCAGGAAGCAGGAAGGGCAGGAGAGAGCTAGCTAGCCCAGCGATGCTGGCTCAGGAATTCTGGGAGTTGAAGTCCATGAGTCATAAAAGAGCCCAGGTTGCCTACCCTTGAGCTTGTTGGAGAACAGCTTGAAGCCAGCTTGTCAGGTAAGCAGAAGATGGGAGTGAGGGGGGGGAGAGAAAGAGAGCGAGAGAGAGAAAAGAGAGAGAGAAAGAGAGTGGGGGAAGAGGACTGGCAGATCAAGGGGGGAGAGGGGGAGGGAGGGAGGGAGGCAGAGAGAGACACAGAGAGAGACCCTTTTGACATCTAAAATGAAGATAACACTGCATATATCCTTTTTTACCTTTATGAGAGGTGTGTGTATATATGTATATGTATATCATAAAGGTAAAAAAGGATATATGCAGTGTTATCTTCATTTTAGATATCAAAAGGGTTTTGCGGCTCCCAGTGTTTTGTTTTCGGTAGGAAACAGGTCCAAGTGGCTTTTTGAGTGTTTTGGGTTGCCTACCCCTGCCCTAGCCCATACGTGAACAAAAATGCTGGTGATTATAAGGAAGGCCACTGAATTGTTGTTCTGAGCTACTTGGAGGAAAATTAAATAAATGCATTATTTTAGAATTTAATAAAGTAATTCTTGCACCATTTGATTTAGCATCCAAGTCAGTATAGCAAAAGTGCTGCTAAATTTAGCCCCTACTGAATTTGATTTGTCTGGAGAATATCATCAAACACAGAGAGAGTTCTATCTACCTTCCTGGAAAGGGTGACGGAACTAAATTTATTGAGGACATGCTAAAATGTTATGTGCATGACTGAAAGTAATGAACAGCTGAAAAAAAGAAAAGCATGAATTTGATAAATATGTCTGCAAGTACAAGTATTAAACAGGCACATTTAACAGGATATTTAATTTTTTCTGTGTAAAGTCTCTGAAATAACTTTAATTGCACCATATATATTTAGCAAAAGACCAATTTCTATGTATTAAGTATCCTGTGTAATTCCAAGACACTATGGGCAATTGAGATTAAAGTTAGGATGAAATTAATACAATTATATTATAATAATATTAATAAAGTCCTAAATGAGTGGGAAAGAGAGTCAATTTGGTCTAGTGGTTTAGATCTAGGCTGGAGACCGGAAGACTGCCAGTTCTAGTCCTGCCTTAAGCATGAAAGCCAGATGAGTGCGTTTGACATTCAGTTGATCTGAAAAAGTGAAGCTGCCCTGCGGAGGCTGGGGGGGGTATGAGGAATACCCGCTAGGGAGTGGGGGAAATCCTAAATAAACCCTGCAGGGAGCAGGGAATGGAACACTAGGGAGGAAAAACAAATCCTAAATAATTGGAAAGGGGATTAATCTAGCTGTTGGTTTATTGCCTGCTGTGAAGAGCATCTGAAAAAAGAAATCCAGTTGTTGGTTTTCTGTCTGCTACTGAAGATCCAGCTGAGAATGTGCAGCTACCAGTAATGATTCATTGACGATAAGCAGAGAATTCTCAAATTTCCTTTCTTCTTCTGCTCCTACAATTTTTACATGTTTGCTGATAATGTGGAACATAGTCGAGATATGCAATCTTTTTTTTTTTTTTTTGCACTGTGTAGAATTGTGTCAGGCTATTCAGACTGTACAACTGTAGTTCATGCTGCATTTTCAAACACTGCGATGTTTAAAATTCTCTATTGTTCAGGTTCAGGTTCTGTGATTTCAGGAAGAATGCATTATCTTGTGAATACATATGACTTTCTACATATAACCTACAATGCCAGATCCATCCATCCATCCATCCATCCATCCATCTATCATCTATCTATCTATCTATCTATCTATCTATCTATCTATCTATCTATCTATCTATCTATCTATCTATCTATCTATCTATCATTAATTTTTTAAAGTCAGTGAAATAAAAATGAAAAGAATATTACATAGATAGCATAACAGTAGAATACAGTAATAGAAATAAGGAAGTGTTGATCTTCTAGACAGTCATTCCAGGCAGCATAAAACTGATTTAGAGTCTACACTGGGGACAAGCATTAGCCTTTCAAACTTCGTACTGACACTCTTATCTGGCTCAGACCCACCATTTATTTTTAACTATGCAAACTGTGTAATTTACAGTTACTATCCACCCTGGGACAATATTTATGAAGCATTGCTATTTTATCTATTACTTTATTAACTACAGATAGTCCTTGACTTGCAATCATTCATTTAGTGATCATTTAGAGTTATAAAAACACTGAAAAAAGTGATTTACAATCAGTCCTCACACTTATGACTATTGCAGTATCCCCAAGGTCACGTGACAGAATTTAGGCACCTGGCAACTGACATGTATTTATGACTGTTGCAATGTCCCAGGGTCATGTGGTTGCCATTTGTGGCCTTCCCAATTGGCTTCCAATAAGCAAAGTCAATGGGGTAGGCCAGATTCATTTAACAACTGCATGATTCACTTGAGAACCACAATGATTTGCTTAACAGCCATGGCAAAAAGGTTGTAAAATTGGGTGCAACTCACTTAAAACTGTCCTCCTTAGCAATGGAAATTCTGGTCCCAACTGTGGTCCTAAGTTGAAGACTACCTATAGTTATGACTTCATTTTTTTTAAATAGCTGATGCTGTCAATATTATTTTTTAAATTTAAAAATATATCTCCTTAAACTTACATTAAGAAGAATCACTTCATCGAGTGGGATGAATATGGTATGCCTCTCTTTAATGATGGGTTATTCCTTTCCCCAAAAATTTCAGGTAAGTTTTTTAAAAATAAACATAGCAGTATATTCTCTTTTTTTCTGTGGCCTCTTTAACCAGGGGATGAGCAAACTTGGAGCTTTCTTTGAAAATAGTTCATTGACGTGGTGATGATTGTTGCTTCTTAATCTATTGCAGGAGAAAATTTTGACCAGAGTCCCTTGAGAAGAACTTTCAAGTCAAAAGTCTTGGCTCACTATCCCCAAAATATAGAATGGAACCCCTTTGATCAAGATGCCGTCAATATGGTATGTAGAGAAATGTCTTCTAAAGGAGTTTCACATCCTACTCCTCACCTACTGTGCCAAAGCCTGCTTTTCTTACATGTTTCAGTTCTCCTCTCTTTTCATTTCAGGTGAATAGGGCATTTTGACTTAGTGAGGAGGATTAACCCACGTTTCTCTATTCACACAAAGATTGGGCTGTTATCAAATGTGTGAAGTCAATACTGGATCCACACTTAATTGTAAATTATAATATTTGTTTAGCCTGACCTGTGACTCAGGCTATCCTCATAAACCATGGTTTATAGATCAGCGTTGGGGGCAAGGCCACCTTGTTGAGGCTTAGCCAACCAACTGATCGAAACTGACATACCACAATATGTGAATTCAGTCCCTGTGTCATCTTCAGCCTGAAGAGGACTTAGAAAATACGTTCATACAGCTAAATAAAACTAAAGTGAAAGTACTTTCTAAGTCCTCCCTCCTTAAGTCTTTATTTTCTAGGTTTTCTAGTCTTTTCCTTCAGTAGGTCAATATTTTTACATTTGTCTTAAGGCTCATTACTTATAGCAAGTCTACCATTGCGTAATACAGGGGTGTCAAACACACCATGTCACTTGACATGTCGCAATGTATTGCGACTTTTTCCCCTGGAGTGGGCGCGGTTTCGGCATGACGCATCTGGCAGTTTAATACCCCTGGTCTAATAGAAAAATTTTGAACATTTACTTCTCCATGTTACAACAATAGATTAAATATCCCTATGTTTCTATTTCATAATAAAAATATTCCTTACAGTATAGCTTCTCATAATATCTGATTACACACTAAAAGAATTGTGAATTCTTTAATAAGATACAGGTAGCCCTAATAACTGTAATTGAGCCCACAAGTTTAATTGTAAGACACGACGGTCATAAAGTGGGTCACCGTATGACCATGCCTGATTTTATGACCTTTTTGTGTCATTAAGTGAATATGTCAATTGTAAAATAAGTGCTGCTATCAGGCAAAAAAGATCAGTCCACAGGTCCAATTAAACTGACATTGCTACTCATAGCCTATACACAGGAATCTTCTTGACTAACGGTTAGAACCTGCTTGGGATTAGGTATGGTTGAATGAAATTCAAGGAGGGTTGGACTTAGCTCACTTGTGGCTATGTAGAGATTCTAGGCTGATACCTCTTTAAACTCTGCCACCAGGTTCTGCCACTCCTTCCCCTAGATCTGCAGTTGCTAAGAGAGCTCATTGTTTGCTATGGAGTGTTTTTTGCTGGAAACCAGAAATAAACAATAGTTTCTGGCAAAAATCACAGTCACATTTCTGTGGAACACTGCAACCAGCCATAAATGTGGAATGGTGGCTGAGCCCCCAAAATGCAGTCACATGACTGCAGAGGTGGTGGTTATGGTGGTAGGTGTGGTAGGCTTCAAAGCCTTAAATTTGGATCGTAAGTAGCTTTTTCAGGGCCCATCATAACTTTGAGTGGTCCCTAAGTGACCGGTCATAATTTGAGGACTGCTTGTATATGCATTTATGAGGAGTAACCTAATGTGCACCAAGACGCCATCAGACTACTGAAGCCTTCATATTCTTATTAACTTTTAAAGAAATTGTGACGATTTGCTAAATACCTGTGATGACTCCCCCAGATGCTTCTCCGGATACCTCTCTAGATGTCAGTTCGGGGGAGGATGAACCAGTTATTGGTGGTTCCGAGCAGCCATCTATGTGGTAGTTGGCTGAAGCACAGCTGCAGCAGATCAGTCCTGAGGCTCCAGATGGGGAAAGCATGCAGCCGTAGCAGTTCAGTGAGGAGGAAGAGGAACTGCCTTCTGCACCTGATCCAAGAACATGTAGGGCAGAGAAAAGGCAGGAGCAGAGAAGGTCAGCCAGATTATTTGTGAGGAGAAAGCCTCGCCCTTCTTGATGGGCTGCACCAGAAGCTGGCTATTTAACACAGCAGACAGATGGAGGCAATGTTCCCTAACTGTGTGTTTTCTGGTAGTTGTGATTCCTGCCTTGCTTTGGATTGATACCTTGCTTTGACTTGGATCGTGCCTTGGAAACTCTGAATTTTTCTGGCCACATGAACTCTCTTGTGTTATAGATTTAAATTTGCCTGGTGGATTTATTTTGATTGAGAAACTTTCAAGTCACTTGTGGACTCTTTGGCCATTGCTCTGTGGACTAGCATTGGTCTGCTTGTGGCGGGTCTTAATAGGACAGTTCTCGGGTTTTGATGAAGGGAATTGCTAGAGAGTATTAATAAACTCACTAAACCACAGTTATGTCTGTGTGTGTGTGAGTGAGCGGAACAGCACAATACCAGAATTCTTATTTTTTCTTCCTGTACTCAAGTTTTGTAATGTTGTAATATGGAGGTTGAATGGTGGAAATAAGCCTTGTTGAACATGAACAGTTTTTTTTAATATTAAGTGCAGAGAAATGTTGCTCATTTTTTTCAGAATTAATGTTGCCATTACCTTGTATTTTTGTCTGCTTTTTATATTAGTGAATGATTTTTTTGCAGGAAAATGTTCAAATATTTTTAGGTTAATCTAGAGAAGCCTTCTGTTGTTACTAGATGCTAATTAAACTGCAGATGGCAAAACATTAATAGAAGTTGTTTAATGGAAATTAGCTAATGGAAGGGGGAGCAATACTCTGTTTTTCTACAGAGTTACACAGTTGTGCCACACATGTTTAAACTGCTTTTTTGCATATAGTGATGGCTGTTTCTTGATCTTTGATTGGGCAAAGTGCTTAAGTGAGTCCCTGTGGCATTATGGGAAATTGTCAGGGAGTAAAACTGGTAATTCTATAAGCACTTGAGCATGATGTTTTAAAAATAGGTTTTGTTCAATTATTGAAAACATTCATACACACACAGGTGCATTCTTCAAGTTATATAGAGAATTAGATCTAAAGCCATTAGCTTGGAAACTGGCTGGTTCCATACATTATAGTCTAATTAAGAGCAGATGTCAAAATGTCTGTGTGCTGCATCCTTGGTCTTCTTTTCTTGACTTTTTCTAATTGATAAAAGTCTGTCCTTCAGATGGTGGCAAAGGTAACATCTCCCAATTGATCAATTCTCAGATCTATACAAACTGTTTTCATTTGAGTGGTTTCATATTTTGTCAAAAAGCTCCAAGCAATTGAATAATTAGAGTGGAAGAAGGGCTTCAGATCTCACTTGGTGTCTTCCCATTTGATGGAACCAACCCATATGTTCTTGAGGAAAAAAATGGCAATGACATATGACAGAATGTTCAAATTTCTGTTGTTACCCTCCAATCCTGCCACTCCTTCCAGCAGCATTGAGTGTGATCCAATCTGGGTTGCTTTTGGACTTGTGCTGAAGCCCATCCTCAGGGAACTTTTTTCTTACCAGCATATCAGACAGAATTCTGGTGTGAGAGAAGTTCCCTGAGGATGGACTTCAGCATGAGTCCGAAAGCTCAGAAGACTAAACTTCTAGTCCTGGTGACTGGGATACGTATCTTTGCCTTTATTCCTGAGAATTGAGCATGCTCATTTTTCTCAATTGGGGGTTTGTTGGGTTTCCCATTGTGGTTATTTTGAGATTGTTCCAGATTTGCTGATAATTCCTCTTGTATATGTCTGGTATCATTTTGGCTACTAATGATGAGCATCCAGTGGGTCAGTGTATGCATGTGTGAACAGTCTTGTCAATCATACAAAAGTGGGCAGCACAATCACCAAAACAGTTTCATGAGTCTTCCAGGCATATGGCAGCTTTAGTACTTGATGGTGAGATGTTGCTGTATTGGTGCTAACAAAATTCATGAAGATCTCCTTTCAGACACTTTAACAAGTACATTGGAAAAATTGTACTGAACTCATGCTTCACTTTCCTTATCTTTTCCTCTTTTCTCATGAAATATTTCCAGGAGATTGCTTTTCAAGAGAGTTTTATACAGATTAGTGCATTTGTATAACAATGAACTGGATTCCTTTTAGCTACAGTGTTTAGACATACATTTTTAATTGATATACAAAATATTTGCTACTATTAAATTATATGGCTGTGGCTATACTTTTAGCCTTAATGCTGAATATATAATTGACATGCATGTAATATTCACACCCTTTTAAATTTTATATAATGCACATTACTTGCTAAGGAAATAGGCTTTTTGTTAACTGCTTTCTTGAGAACTCCATAGCTAATGCACAAGGTTATAAATTAATTTTAAGAGCTGTGGCAAATTCCATCGCTACACAATTATGCAAAACCAGTGGAGCTTGAGGCTGGGAAATATAACTTTTTAAGAATGTTGTTTTTAATTAAATGTTAAGAAAGTGGGGGTTTTTTTCATCCTGTGTGTCTTGTTAATAAGCATTATTTGCTTTATAATATAACTATGCATAGGTTAAAACATTGGGCTTGCCAACCAAAAGGTTGGCAGTTCGAGACCCAAGTACCGAATGACGGGATGAGCTCTTGTTCCTGCCCCAGCTCCTGCCAACCTAGCAGCTCAAAAGCATACAAATGCGAGTAGATAAATAGGTACCACTTCAATGGGAAGGTAACAGCTTTCCGTGCCCCTTCGGCATATAATCATGTTGGCCACCTGACCATGGAAGCATCTTCTGACAACACTGACCCCCTCAGTGAGGAAACGGAGATGAACACACCCTCTAAAGTTGAACACAACTGGACAGGGACAACCTTTACCTTTATAGATTTTACAGTATAGGTATGCCCATAATACAATAAAGGAATGCCCATAATAGATGTTACGATGCAGCTGACAAGTGTATTTTCCTCTTCTCTTCCCACAGCTATGCATGCCCAAAGGGCTATCCTTCAGGACTCAGTCTGACCAGAGAGATCCCCAGTTCCATTCATTCATTATTACTCGGGAAGATGGATCCCGCACCTATGGATTTGTACTCACATTTTTTGAGGAGGTCACGAGCAAGCAGATCTGTGCAGCCATGCAAACGCTTTATCAGATGCACAACGCGGAGCAATGCAACAGCGTCTGTGCCTCGTCGTCATGCAGCATGGACTCGCTGGCCAGTAGTCTGGATGAAGGAGATTCCACATCCCTGGCCAAAATGCAGCGCTGCAACTCATACGACATCAACAGGGACACGCTCTACGTTTCCAAGTGTATATGTGTCATTGCTCCATTGCCTTTCATGCAAGCCTGCAAGAAATTCCTCATCCAACTTTACAAAGCGGTCACTTCTCAACAACCCCCACCTTTGCCTCTGGAAAGCTACATACATAACATTCTTTACGAAGTACCCCTTCCGCCCCCAGGAAGGTCACTCAAATTCTATGGGGTTTATGAGCCTATAGTCTGCCAGAGACCAGGGCCAAACGAACTCCCCTTGTCTGATTATGCTCTCCGGGAAGCCTTTGAGCTGCTGGGCTTGGAGAACCTCATTCAAGTGTTTACATGTGTCCTGCTAGAAATGCAGATTCTTCTTTATTCTCAAGGTAAGTGGACTTCTCCTAATGTGACTGTGATTTTGACTTTTCTTGTCTTCCAAAATACTGACACCACCAGATATCATTTTGTGACAGTGTGGCTTTTAACACCACAATAAAGGGTGTTTTCATAAAAAGGAAAACGTGTTTTGCTGTTTTGTTGGGTGGAGGAGGATGTGTCTATGGTTTCTAAAAGTTATCTCCTGTCTAGAAAACAAGCAAATCTAGTAAATAAATAAATACTGATGACTAGTGATAAATGTTGTCTCCCTTTTCTATGTATATAGATATTTCCATAGCACACCGGCTAACCTAGCATCATTTGCCTAGAACCTTTTAGAGACCGAGTGCCCAAAAACTGGCCCCACCCCCGCTCCACCCCCTGCCCCGCCCCCATTCTGCCCCTCCATCCCCCGTCCCGCCTGCCCACAGGACCACTCGCTGCCTCCAGGGCCCGCCGCAGATCGCCCAGACAGCCCAGCAGCGTTATGGCGGTGACACCCTCTGCCTGTATCCTGCAGCATCAACTGCATGATGGGGTGTGAGGGCAGAGTCTTGTCTACGCTGCCCGGCTGCCATGTCTTTGGCTGTGCTGCTCCATGTGGGCCACGCTTGGGGGCAACTCTCCTTCAGGGGGGCTGCTGGAGGGGAGGGGGTCACGGGGGCAGGCAAGGCTGGGGCAACGGCACGTGTGCCCACAGAGAGGGCTCCGAGTGCCGCCTCTGGCACCCGTGGCATAGGTTCGCCACCACTGGCCTAGCACCTAGCACTTAGAGTTATATACCTCTTCATTGTGTTTTACAGCCATCTCTAAGCGGTTTACAGAGTCAGCATATTTTCCCCAACAATCTGGGGTCCTCATTTTACCAACTTCAGAAGGGTGGAAGGCTGAGTCAACCTTGAGCCAGTCAGGATCAAACTCCAGACTGTGGGCAGAATTTGTCTGCAGTACTGCATTCTAACCACTGCACCACCAGGGTTCTTTATAGTGCCATATAAGAAGATAGACAAACAGACAGGGAATCTATCAACAGAATGATAAGTGGATAAAGGGAGGGAAAGTTTGAACTGCCTACCATATGCCACCCACAAAGGTTTTTTGGCTAGGAAGGGATATATGAATAAGATTTATTAATAATGGGTCACTCCTGACTACAAAAGTTACAACTGCCCCTTCCCCCTGTGCAAGGTTGCAAAAGAAATAAATTTGAAATCATCTGACAGATTCTTTGAAAACTTACAATATTACCTGCAGGCACAAGCTAAAGACAGGACATTGACACCGAAGGCAGTAACCATCTTCCAAGAAAGCTATGATTGTCCAGAAGATAGGAAAATGCTTATTAATTGATAAGATCAAGGATTTATGCTCCAATGTTTTTCTGGTTTTAAATAGCTTTGTGGAGACACCTTACTTATTTTGAAAGCAATTATCCCTGACAGTGATTAGCTTCTTTAAAATAATTTTAAATGTGGAGGTTTTCTTGTACCAACAAAGAATGTAATGAAATTTGGTGGATGGAGAAGGAATAGATATTTCAATAGTTTCAGAATAGTACTGTTTTGAGACTGATAATGCAGCTTCCTAGAGAGCAGTAATAGAATATGATTCCCACAAGATTGAGGTCAGAGAAGGATAAATTGAATTGTTAGTTCTGCATATACATCGAATGTAAGCTATTCTACAAATAATCTAAAGAAGAATGTAGATTTTTCTAATCTTTTATTTTTAAGCCTGTCAGCCCTCCAGCTAAACCAGCCAGGAAACACTGCCATAGGAGCTAATGCTAGTTTATTGTAAAGCTACATGAACAAAATCTTGAAAGTCTGAAGGTGCAAATATTCTGCCTTTAACAGCTTGGTCTGTTAGGGTGGGCCCTAGCTAACTTTCTTTTTCTGATCCTTAAGCCACTGGGGGTTCCTCTATCTCTTGTCTAATGGTTCTCTTCCTTGCACCCCTCAAGGTCACTCACAGATAACATTACAAAGCCCTTCTCTGCCCAAGAGCATTTAATAAAGTTTGGAAGCAGAGCTTCCAAAGCAGTTTACTCAAACAAGAGAATATATCTATAAAATAGGATAAGCTTGCCAGAAGATTTCACTGCCCCACCCCCCCAAATACATTAAACATCGTCAAATAACAGCAGCAACAAAAAACAATATTGCTTTTGGCCTGGTATTTTTCTCTTCCAAGAGCCTTCTGAAATTTTTTGGAGTTCCTGTCTTGATGGAAATGAGGGGAACAGGGAACTTATGGCCATTGCAGAAGCCAGTGCCCTGCTTTGAAGAACTGAGGTTCTGCAAAACAAGCAGATTGGATTTTTGTCCCGGATCACACTAGCAAAAGGTGTCTGAAAGCAAATATGGCTGCCTCCTCCTCCTCCTCCTCCTCCTCCTCCTCCTCCTCTTCCTCCATAATGATGATTAGCATAGGATAGTCTTCCCCAATCTGGTTGCCTCTATATTTGTAGCTCCTAGAAACCCTAGTCCACAAACCCATAGGCCAGTCTTTTTCAACCTTGGCAACTTTAAGATATGTAGATTTCAACTCTCAGAATTCCCCAGCCAGCCATGAGTTGAAATCAATATATCTTAAAGCTGCTGAGAAACACTTGAGATGCATAAAAGTGAGAAGGTTGATTTAGGATACTGTACTTTGGTTTGGTGACTGACTGATAGGCTCATTGAAACTGGAGTGTAAATCCATTATACTTAATGGAGAACCATGGGAGAAATGCGTTTTTACACTAGCTCACACAGCGAGCAGGAAAGAATAAATGACACTCCTGTGTATTGTCAGTGAGAACATTACAAACTTTGGTTTCATTATTAATGTGCCTCAAATGGCTGAGATAATCAAAATAGCTTTCTTGTTTTTTGCAAAAGTTTATTTTGCCTGGCTTTTACTGTTCTTGGGAAGGATTAATTAGGTCGGAATTTAAAAAAATTGTGGGTTTCTAGGATCCCCTTTCCTTGCCATTTAAATTTGAATTCCTGCATGAATGCTCATCAAACGGTTTTTTTTTTTCTGTGCTGGAATCTTGGTAATGTACTCTGATGTAGAAAAGGCATAAACATGGAAAACATACAGTACTTGAGAAATAGAGTACCGGTAGTTGTTTTTTTCCTCATTAATGTTTCCCCAGCAGAGAGATAATGGGAAGTCATATAGCTAATGATTTGTGATATTTACAGTACGTGCATCTCAGATTGAACTGATCTGTATTTTCTGAGGTCATACTTTATAGAGACATTCATATCAAAATCAGTTGTTGGAATAATATTTAAATTATCTCTTTCTCAAGCACCCATTTTGAACATTTTTGTTAAATATTCTACTAGTTTTATTTGGAACCGGACACATAGACCATTATGTTAAAGGTCTGGTGCTCATCTTGTTGTTATTTGTCTTGTTTAACACATCTATATTTTTTCCATGGGTTGTACAGTACTTGAGCTTAAACTGTGAGAATTGTGTGTTCATTAATCAAAAGGCACATTACTGCTGTAACTATTTTAAGTTTCAGAACGTGGTGCTGTTAATACCAGTGACTGGTAGTTCTTTGAACTTCAATTTGCCATGATCAATTGGAATAAAATGCTGGCAAAATACTTGAGAAGAGAGTACTTTATGGAAATGTGTTTAAAATACATCCTAAGGATTAACCTCTGTATTAAAATTGTCATTCTGTCTTAAAGTGAATTTACATGCTGTCTAAACATTTCATAGCTTGCTTTGAATGGCAGTTCTAGAGTTAATAATTTAATCCATTTTAAACAGGGAGGGAGTTAACCTATTGCACAGTAAATCAAGTCAATAAATGCCTATTACAACGTGTATCCTGTGGATTTAAAAATTGCTTTGCAGTTGCCATCTGCTGGGCATTGAAATGTATGTGGGATATTGAAAGTAACAGGATTTTAAAGACAATTCTGTTTTGGGTTTCTTTGTTTAGACTATCAGCGTCTGATGACGGTTGCAGAAGGGATTACCACCCTGCTATTCCCATTCCAGTGGCAACATGTGTATGTCCCCATCCTTCCAGCCTCACTCTTACATTTCCTGGATGCTCCTGTACCTTACTTGATGGGCCTCCAATCCAAAGAGGGAACAGATCGTTCTAAGCTGGAACTTCCTCAAGAGGTAAATGTTGCTTGCAGCCTTCATGGCTTGGGACCGGATTATCTGAAGGACCATATAAGCCACATCCACTTGACCCATTAGAGCAGGAAAGCAAGGAATGTTGCAGATCCCATCTCCTAAAGAGGTACATCTGATAAGACCTAGAAGAAGGGCCTTTTCCACGTTGGCTCCTTTCCTGTGGAATAACATCCCCACAGAGATTAGTCTGGGACCCACTTTGACACAATTGTGTAAGACCCGGAAGACTTGGTTCTGTCAACGGGCCTGGGAACTCAGAGTGAAATGGACCCCATCAAGTGGCTCATTTGATTGCGTGTTGTCGCCAGAGGGTGCGGGGTTATTATTTTTTATTCTTTTTTACTGGGTTTTTACTGTTAGTAATCCACCTTGAGTCCCTGAGAGTGAATGGATGGCCATATCAAACTTTCAAATAAATAAATTAACAGCAGTATTTCCCGTGCAATGTTTGGGTGAGACTTGTTGGGTGTTATGATTGTTTACATTGATGTGAGATGGAAATTCAAATATATCTTGTGAAAGCAGAACAGTCAAGTGTCAATATTTAGACCCAGGCACTGTAATTAAAATATCTCCTCACTTCACATCCCCAGGCAGACACACAAGAAGGTAAGTAAGAAAATTTATTGCTGGGAAATAAAAGGCCAAATGTACAAAGACATCTTAACAGTACCCTGTGGTCTTGTCCTCTATGTATTGTTAATCTTTAGGTTTAAAATCCTGGGCCTCTTTGGCTTCAGTTTTCCGAGCTTTGGAGGTTTTTGCCATCTTTCTGCTTATAAAATGATATTCTGGCATAACAATCAGGGATTCCCACTTCATCAGCTTCAATTCTTACAGTAGGTCAATTCTTATGCATGTGCTTTGGAAGGTGCAAGAAAATGAATGGAGCATGTTAAAGCAGGTTTGGCATTTCCTAGAATCACGGAGTTAACTAAAGAAAGCAGTTGCTTGGTCTGCTAAAAAGATGCATCCATTTTAAGGTGTTGGAAAAAGGTGCTACATACACAGATGAAACTCAGCATACTACGCAGCTCTAGTAAATATTTTATGCTACAATGAACTTGCTCCTCTTTGAGAGTTGGGAGGAAATGACAGAAGGACTTGCTGTATATTCAGATAAAGGTTTCAATGGAATCTGCATAAGTTTAGCATAGTTTACAGTTTATTCTCCCCTTCTTTTTTTCCTCCATCTGCCAAGCTGAAAAAGAGGTCAGAGATGCTTGCTTTTGATTAGTTTTTTTTTAACCAGCATATGCAAATTCTGCTTTATTTTCCTTCTCCTATGATTTCTTCTTGATCTTCAATTTCCGGTTTGCTTGGAAGAGACCATTCAAGTTTGTGGGCTTGCAAATCACAATAAACAAATCATGGAATGTACTTCTGTGGTTTGTTTATCAGCCAATTTAGGTTTTTAGAAACAATTGTGTCTGCTTGTAAATAAAGGGCTATAGAAAATAAATGTTTGGTTCTAGTATTTGCTCTGAACATTGGAAGTTGGGTTAAGGATTACAACCTCTGTCTTAAGGAATTATTTGGACTTTAATTTGCAAATCTTTGCAGTTATTGATTTTTGCAGGATCCAATCTGAGTCTGGGATCAGAGTTTTAGTCTTCCAAGTTTTTGGACTCGTACTGGAGCCCATCCTCAGGGAACTTCTTTCCTGTCCAGACTATTCTGGACCTGGTGGACAAATCAGATTTGATCCTACATTGTTATGCTGGGACATGTATATTTGCCTTAATTTGTTATTAATTTTTATTGAAGCTGTTTTTATTGATAAAGTTGGAAGGGAACATTATTATTATTATTATTATTATTATTATTATTATTATTATTATTATTATTATTATTATATATGAGGCATATCAGGGAAAGAAACTGGAGACTACATTTAATAGTGGGCCTTTTAAAGCAACTTTCCAGTCTTTAATGTAGGAATGCCAGGGAGCATTAGTTCAATTCTACCTTCTTTTTCTTGCTTAAGACCAGATGCTACTTCAGGGGCTAAATATAAAACCACTTGTGCATTCTGGATAAAATTCTAACAGCTGGTCTTCAGACATTCTTCAGGTTGCTACTCAGCCATCATATTGTTATGGGATGCTTTTAGAAGAGATGATCTCTTCAGATTTTCTCCCGGTTCAAATCTCATTCCGCACTTTTAGAATATTAAGTAGTGTTTAACAAGCCTTTTAAATGAACTCTTGATAGATGGTAGTCTATTTGAACTGAAAGAGGAGAAAGAATCACAATACTGCAGATAATTTTACTAGTGCACTTGCAAACGGATTGCCTTTCCCTAGCCAAAATAAGTATGTTAATCCTAGAGAAATCAATTCTACATATAGCCTATCAAAAATAACTTTGGAATGCTGGAGTTAGAATTATGATGATGCTTGATGATGTGTTTTAAAAGTATTTTTCAACATTTGAACATCGTGATTAATGAAATGTTGGCCTTTAGTTCAAACTATAATCCTTTCCTTATTAGAAGCATGTTCTCAAAAGTGGAGTTCTTTAGCATAACAATGAAACATCCATTCAAAGGCTAAAAAGAATCAGTTGTCATTGCCTTTATAAATATGTAGGTTTTATGCTGCCCTTTTTCAGATATGCTTCAGATTTAAATATGAGGGCTTGGCTTTTGGGGGAAATAAACTTGCTTCAACAGTCAGTTCACTTAAAACAGGCAAATCTTGTAGTGAGTCACAGTGAGTTCAGCCTAAAACACGGGTGTCAAACTCAATCACGTCACGTGACGTATCATGAGGTAGTGTGACATTTTTTGCCTTTGGGGAGCCGGAGTGGGCGTGGCCTGTACATGATGCATCCGGCCCGTGGGCCGCCAGTTTGACACCCCTGGCCTAAAAGAAATAATTAGTCTTTTCCATAGCATCCCTCTGTATCTGGGCTTTCACTGGTTTTATCAAAGTTCTTAATATAGTTCACTCTTCAATCCCCTACAGAGATTTACACTTCAGAGAATACATTCAACTATCATGGCGATAGTTGGTTTTATTGTCAAGCAACACCTTAGGCAGGAAACTTTGGATTTTACTAGCAAAAAGCAAAGATTTCCTTTATACCGTACTTACAAACTGTACATGACCAAAGGGTATTGGGCTAAATTGAGTCTGTCAGCAGAATAGCCCACCATTGGTTCCAATGAATTTTAAAAAGCTTGAAAATATTTAATTTTACATGTCCCCCAAGGATTTTCTAATAAACGTCGTCCTTCCTGTGTTCCAGGTATTTTTGCTAATTTGGGAGTAATTTAATTATGGTTTAGCTTTCTGCTTTTCCTGCTGAAAGAGAGTGCTTGCTTTATTTTTTAAATGCCCTTTCAGTTTGTATCCCAAATTGGCAAGTACATAATACAAAATAAATAAATACATAAATACATAATCACTATAAAAAAACAGTGATGAGAACAAAAATAAAAAACAATAGCAGGCACAGATCTTACCTTAGTTTGTAGGAACAGAAAAGGTAAAGCTCCTATAGATATTGAAATGTGGGGCAATTCTTCCAATTTTGTGGGTGATTAAGATATACAAGCAAAGGAGATTTGCTGAGGATGGTGGTCTGATCACTCACATAACCTTCTGGTTTATTTAGAAATGAGAACTGCTTGTCCCGTGGCACTTGTGGGTTATTCAGTGTCACATGTGAACTAGAGACTTTGACTTGTTCTTGGCTTCTGATACCAGCTTGTTTAGAGAAGAACAAGCCAGACCTCCTGGTTAGTTGTACATCTTAAATGAATCATGGTGAATAACGGGTTTATTTAGCTGCTTCAAGCATAATGACTGACATACTATTTATCCTTGAAAAGCTAACATTACAATACTGGATTTACAATACTGGATAACTGATATCTTCAGAGCCATACACTAATGTCTGTACTTAGCATACAAACCCTGAAAGGTATTCCTTTTGTTCGTTTTTGTGTTTTTGAAATGATCCTCTAAGGTAAACGTATGTTGAATTTACTAATAGTATTTGCTTATCTGAACAAGAGGATTTCATTCTGAATCCTTATATCTACATATTCTTTTCTCAGTTCAAACTTATAAGAAATAAATCTCCTCTGTTGCAAAAATGGTTTGTTCTTCTTTTCCAGGCCAACCTCTGTTTTGTGGATATTGACAATCACTTCATTGAGTTACCAGAAGAGCTTCCTCAATTTCCCAATAAGCTGAATTTCATCCAGGAAATTTCAGAAATTCTCCTTCAGTTTGGGATTCCTCTTGAGGGTCGTCATCATTGTAGCGAGAGTGCAGCCAAGTTAAAAAATCTTGTCCTTTATGACTTGGCCAACGACAAAAAGAACGGGAATGTGCCCAGCAACACCATTAACATGTATGAGTTCCTCAAAGGCAACGAGACAATCGCCCGCCTCCATGCTTTGGCAAAGAGGACAGGAGTGGCAGTAGACAAAATGGCTATCACTGCTTCTTTGGCAGAAAAAGGAACAGATGTTAAACTCCACTGTGACGAACAGGAACTGAAGGACTACAAGCTGAATGTCCAGCTCCGGGAGGTTTTTGCCAACCGCTTCACCCAGATGTTTTCCGATTATGAGGCTTTTGTCATTCAAGCGGCACAGGACAGGGAATCCTGGCTGACCAACAGGGAACAGATGCAAAATTTTGACAAAGTAAAAGAAGCCAAATGCTTTTTCTTCTTAAGCCAGAGGTACAGAACGATGGCGCCTTTATGACTTGTGGACTTCAACTCCCAGAATTCCTGAGCCAGCCATGAATTCTGCGAGTTGAAGTCCACAAGTCATAAAAGGGCCATCGTTCCCCACCTCTGTTCTAAGCTAATTTAGCCTTTTATCTTTAGGATGCCCAAAGTTCACTGTTATCTTATATAATGCTATATTCAGACTTCCTCGAATTAAAAAGGGTTTCTAAGTCAGGTTGATACAGACCTTTGCTTTAAGATTTTAATTACAGATGTAGCACAGGTAGTCCTCGACTTACAACTTTTTCATTTAGCAACAGTTCATAGTTACAACAGCATCGAAAAAAGCGACTTTGACCTGTTCTTGCATGTATAACTGTTGCAGCAGCCCCACAGTCATGGGGATCAAAGTTTGGGTGCTTGGCAACTAGGATGTATTTATGATGGCTACAATGTCCTGGGGTCATGTGAACACCATTTACATTTACAACCTTCCCATCCAGTTTCTGACTAGCACAGCCAATGGGGATTCACTTAATGACCACACAATTCATTTAACAATTGCAATGATTCTCTTAACTGTAGCGCAAAAGTTGTAAAATTAGGCATGACCCTCTTAACAACTGCCTTACTTAACAGTAGAAATTCTCCTCCTAATTGTGGTCGTGCGCTACCTTTGTTGGTTGTTGGATACATGAATCAGATCATCCAAATAATGTGACTTTGTCTAAGCTAATTTCATGTTTTTAGTTTGCAAAAAGGTGAGAGGAACTACATTGGTGAAGAAATTCAATCACTTTTCTCTAAACCAAAGCTGATATTGGTTTTTCTCCCTTTGGAAATGTAGCATTAACATAAGACTGTTGTTCCTGGTTCCCTCCCCCTTTAAAAAAAAATATTCCTGAGTGGAAAGGCCAGTAGGATTTGCAAAGAGGTATAATTCTACCTATTTGCAGAAAATATTTTTATACAGTTTTCCTGTGATCTAGTTAAGGCCCTCTTTTGTTGAGGTGTTTATTTATCTCTGGGTATTTAGCTCCTAAGAAAGGAGCTGTCTCCACCTGTGTGCAGGTAGTCCTTGACTTACAACCACAATTGAGCCCAAAATTTATGTTGCTAAGTGAGAAATTTGTTAAGTGTGTCACACCCCATTTTATGACTTTTCTTGCCATATTTGTTAAGTGAATCATGGCAGTTGCTAAATTAGTAACACAGTCATTAAGTAAATCTGGCTTCCCCATTGACTTTGTCAGAAAATTGCAAAAGGTGATCACATGATCCCGGGATGCTGCAACAGTCATAAGTGTGAGAAATGGTCATAAGTCTTTTTTCAGTGCTGTTGTAACTTTGAACGGTCACTAAATGAATTGTTGTAAGTGGAGGACTACCTGTACTGCCCATGTTTGCAATCAGAGTGACAATAGGAACAAGTTCACATGCTCTCACCCAACTGTTTTTTGAGTGAGCTGAGTGGAGCATGCTTTCCCCATTATAGTCAAGCTCCTTACAACCCACCAAATAATAATATGATGATTGATGTGAACATAATTCACAAGGGAAATAACATGGAGAGATATCTCCTGGGCCTCATTTTCTTCCCTGAACTTTTTATGTGTTCCCCATTCCAGCTAATTGGTGCTGTGAAGAGTTAAAGCAGATACAGTGGTACCTTGATACTCAACTGCTTTGAAACTGATCGAATCTGGTACTCAACACATTTTGATGTGAAAATTTTATCCCGGTAATCATCGTTTGTTTGGTACTCAGCGTTTGTTTAGTACTTAACGCACAAGCTGGAACTTGTCGTTGTCGGCTGCCTTGTGACTCACTACATTATTTCTTATGGGAAAAAATTGTTTGGTACTCATAATTTTTGGTAGTCATCATGCCTCCCAGAACCAATGAACAATGAGTACTGAGGTTCCGCTGTACTGATTGGTGGATTTCTCAACTGTTACCTGGATAATGAAATCCAGACTCTATTGATTTTTCTCTATTGCAATTATCTTTGGTTATTGAACCTTGCATATGAGCAAATAATGAATTGACACAAGCACATTAACCAATATAACTAGTTTTGTTCCATTTTGATTCCTCTCTTCCACTCTAGGCTTCATTTCTCTCAGATCAACCGGAGCCTTACCTTCCTTTCCTCTCCCACTTCATTGAAACTCAAATGTTTGCAACGTTCATTGACAATAAAATTATGTCCCAATGGGAAGAAAAAGATCCATTTCTACGAGTGTTTGACTCTAGAATTGAAAAAATGAGACTCTATAATGTCAGGATTCCTTCATTAAGAACATCAACATATCAGAAATGCACCACATTAAAAGAAGCAGGTATTGGTGGATTTTCTACGTTAAATGATTTTTTTTTAATAACAAGGGGGGAAAAAAGCCCTATTGCTTTTTGGAATTGTTTGAGTAAAGATATCAGGATTTTCAGTAGTAATTTATGAATAGTAAATTTTGGGGGGAATTTTGTCCATCTCTGTAAAAGTATATTTAAGTCTCTAAGTGAATCTAAGAAAGCTCCGATGTCTGCGTTGGGCCTTGTTTATTCTAACATACTTTCTGTTCATTCATTTGTAAAATTTTCTAGTGGGGATTCTGCTTTCAGTAAAAGTTACTGCAACAAGTTTAAACCCAAAAGATCTAAAAATAGACAGAATAAATTCAACTTCAACTTTATTCTGCACAGGAGTTGCTGTCGATCTCCTAGGGCTGCAAAAGTGGGTGCCTAGTGTAGTTAGTACCAAATTTGGTGCCTAATTTGGGGAGAGGTTGGGGAGATTAAGGAGAGAACTGAATATCTTAAATCATTCAAGTTGAGATGTTGTCTTTTTAATCCAGGGATGGGAAAATCCCTAGTTAGGGGCTCTAAGGGATTAAATGAATTGCTCCCAGAAGCTAACCACCAGTGATTATTGATTCTCCTAGCAACAGTGGTTAATCAATGGCACAATGCAGCGTTTCTCAACCGTAGAAACGTAAAGAGGTATAGACTTTAAGAGGTATTGACTGGATAGGAAATTCTGGGAGATGAAGTCCATACTTTTGCACACTGCTGAGGTTGAGAAACAATAGCGACTGTATTTTACACCATGTGTAAAGTATCTTTCAAAGACACACAATCAAAAAGCACATAACAACTATTGATAAACTGTGGCTTTTCCAAAATTATGATTCACATCAGAGTATGAAATCCTTTCTACAGCTCAGAGCTATTGTGCATTGAGAAAGGAATCCCTAGCAAAGATCTCAACATGCATGATGTAGCTGAATTTTCACAAACTTTGGAAATCACAGTTTGAGATCTTATATGAGCTCTATAAAATTTCATGCAACATTTCAGAAATTCTACTTTTAAATAAATTTTGGAGCACTCCACTGTATACATTTAGGAGTACAATCAACATCTAGTTTATCCATGATTCACATAATCAAACTTCTTGGTGAAACCAATGGGTTATGGGAGACTTCCTGCAGCAGACAATTATTCTAAATAAATAGTATCTCAATAATTGATGGCCAAGGACAGTGGGCATACAGGTTGGAGACTGAAAGAGATTTGAAATTTGATAATTTTTCAGCAACCTCAGCTTGGAAAAGGTTGCATTTAAATAATTGACTTTGAAATTATTTTCCCTTACACATTGGCTTAATCTAAGAGGGTGACAGAATTGAAGTGACATCAAACAGTAGCTCTAATTAGCTGAAGCTTTTTTATATACAGTAACAGTATGAATATTGAGGAAAGATGTTGAATTTATCTCTGTTGTGTAACTTCTAAAGTTATCTAAAGGAACTCTGTTGGAGGTGACCTACAATTTTCCCTTTGATTCCCTCAACAATCTTTAGCCCAACTTTTTATTGCTGTCTACAACTCCAGTGATTTTGTCAGGAATGAAGAAATTCCCTGTACTTTCCTTATTTCTACTTAGTCTTTCAAAAATTTGGAATAAGGGCATCAATTAGTGGGGGTTTGTTTGCCTCTTTGGAATGCAATGACAAAATAATATCTAGATGGGCAAGGTGCAAAAAGTATATGTGAAAGTACCGTACATAGGTAGAATTTCTCTGTTTAAAAACTCCTAAGCCTTTCATACAACTTTGTCTATTGCTTTCAGCTCAGGCAATTGAACAGCGACTGATAAAGATGGATCACACTGCAATTCATCCACATTTGCTTGATATGAAGATAGGTCAAGGCAAATACGAGCAAGGTTTCTTCCCCAAACTTCAATCAGATGTGTTGGTAGCTGGGCCTATCAACAACAAGTAGGCAGTATAAAGCATTTATACAGTGTAATGATATATGCTATTTCTTTTGTTTATGATATATGCTATTTCTTTTGGAAATATGGGTAGTCTGTTCCTTCCCCCAAGCTCTTCCACCAGGTGCTTTCTAGATATTGGATCTATAAGTCCCAAAATTCCCAACTATAATTACAGTTACAATGTATCTGGCAGGGGTTTTAGGAAGACTCTCTAATGTACTTTCTGTCGGTTCCCTGAAGAATATCCAGAAATGACAATGAGAGCAGCCTCTCCCCTTACATAGGTCATAATAAGTAGCATAACCTATATACTGCCCTTACCTAGATCAGTATAGAAGCTAATATTACAAGTCTTTCTCCACTGGTCATTACATTCAAACCTTGCTAGTGGAACATTGCATGCTAACAGATAGATTTTCCAAGTTCAATCCAATGTTAAAATTTTAAGACTTCCATTCTTATTCTTATGTTCCTCAGTCAAATTAAAAAAGCAATTTAATTAAGCAGGAGCTCACATTTTCATTTAGGGTTTTTTTCTCAATTTATTTCTAACTGCTAGTTAACTTGGAGTAATCAGAAATGATTGCTGCAAAATCGAAATGATTAAATAAGGTTGCTAATACGCTAATCTCAGCTAATTATCCTGTAATCCTTTGTAATTACTTATAAAAGAACTTAAGTATTTGCATGTAGTGCAAGTTGGCAAAGCAATCAGGAAGTATGTATGAGATCAGATAACCCACCATTGTGATTTATATTTTTCATGTATTTTTTGTTTTTCTGGGATAGGGTTGGTCTAGAGTAGACAACCTTTGAAATGCTTTTAACTGTATGGTTCCATTGGCTAATATTTTCTGAGTTATTTCCTTCATTTTTTTGTCTGGTTCATAATGTGCCCTTCTGTGCAAATTCCCTTTCTGAGATGTGAGGCTTGTGAACAAAAAGCATGCGTTTTCTATGAAATGAGCAGGTGTGACCTTTGTTGCAGTTTGTTCTCACTGCTTCTTTTCTATTAAATAATTGTAGCCGGTGGGTGAGTCGCAGTGCTACTGCCCAGCGGAGGAAAGACCGTATTCGACAACATTCAGAACACATAGGCCTGGACAATGAGTTAAGGGAGGTAAGTGCTGAAGTTAAGAATTGATAAAGGCATGGGTTTCTATAAGACTCGGTAATTTGTAGCTATATAATATTTTCCAAACTCTGCTTTAATGACTTAATAACGTGCAAGGAAAAACTATTTATTCAGGATTTTTTGCATGTATTTGATTGTTTGTGCCTTCAAGTCTGTTTTTGATTTCTGACAACTGCCTAGACAAATTTCTGCAGTTTTCTTGGCAAGGTTTTTCAGAAGTGGTTTGCCATTGCTTTCTTCCTAGGGTTGAGAGAAAATGACTAGCCCAAGGTTACCTAGGTGGCTTCAGGCAGGACTAGAACTCATCATCTCCCAGTTTCTAGCCTCTTGCCTTAATTACTGCATCAAATTGGCTCGTGATTCATAACCAGCGCAAACTGCAAAATAGATGCATAATAATGCAATTAAAAAAACACATTGAAAGAAAAACCATGATGCTAAATTGATTAACAAAATCTGGAATGTTTGGATTGTTCTGGGGTTTCGATAGAAGAAAATCCAATGGGATCTCTGAGTGTTTTTATGGGATGAACGATACAAGGCGGATGCCCGTTGCCCCTCACCTCACCAATTCCCAGCACAATATGCCCTGCTCAGTGGCCATAGAGTAGTTTCACTCTGGCTTTGAGAAGGAGGTGGGAGAAGAGAAATGGTCGCTCAGCCCTGGGCAAATAAATGGCTAAGAAAGAAGCTCAGAAGAGTGCCATGTTGATCTTGCTGTGGGTAAAAAGGGGCAGTACAAGTTTTGAACAGGCTTTCAAGATTCTGTTATGATACCTGCAGCAATAGGATAACGTTCCTGGAATTCCTGTGTGGTCTATTTCTTGATTTTGCCTACCTTGAAGAGCTGGGACCATCTTCATTCTCCCATCTCCTCTGTGTCTTTTTTCCCCTCTGACCCTCAGTCCCTGTTGCCACCAGAGATTGCCGCAGGCCTATCTCTGACATTGTATAAGCCAGTGATGGCGAACCTTTTAGAGACCATGTGCCCAAACTGCAACCCAAAGCCCACTTATGCATCATTGGGTGCCGGGTGGGTGTGGCCAATTGGGTGGGCGTGGCTGCGGTGGTAACGGCAGACTGGGTGGGACTAAAAAGTTCAATCAATTCCAACTTTGCAAGATCTTTTTTTCCCCCGCGAGAAGTAGAAATTGACTGATTGGTTGAACCTTTTTTTTTTTGCACACGGTGGCGGAGGCCTAAAGCGAAAAGGTTTTATAAAACCCAGCTGAAGGCCTAGGAGTGGGGCAATGGTGCACGTGCCCACAGAGAGGGCTCTGAGTGCCACCTCTGGCACCCGTGCCATAGGTTCACCACCACTGGTATAAGCCTTCCCTTCTTTTCTTGTCCTGCCTTGGGCCTCCTTAGCTGCTACCAGCATTACAATGTGTCATGTCCCACTAATTCACTCACTGTTCTCTTGCATCCTATGCCTGCCCATAGCCACTGTTGGTGTCCTTGGCTTCTTTCCATTCTTATCTCCCCCCAAAATGACTTCTGCTCAGAACAATTGAGTTTCATCCCATATTGCTACAAAATAGTCCCATTTCATCCCATGGATGGACCAGAATTCTCAAAATAAGTGTTTCAGTTTAGCTATAGCTTGTTCAAAACCAACTTTTCCCCTGTATGGAACAGTTCATACACAGAATATTTAATATATCCCTTTGCATTTTAAACCAGAACAATTCCAAAAATGTTGACAACATTATTCAAAAATCATCTCCAATGCCTTTTTTTAAAAATCAAATTCAGTAGGGAATATATTGAGGCTGAAAGTACTCATAATGCAATTTTGTTGCACAGTCTGAATGTGCTTCTCGCTAGTTTTCATAGGAAACTTAAGTTAAACTAAATGAATAAACAAATGTCATGTTATTTAAAGTAAACTTATATTGGTTTACCAGTGCAAGGTATTTAATCTTGCTATTACAAGGTCATATAATGGAAAATGATCTGCTTATAGATGTATTTGAAACTGGGAGATACGTTCTTTCTTAAAACAAGAACCTGTCTATGTTTGTTTTTTTTTAATTTGCCATTTTCTGGCCCTCTGTAAAAAAATATCAATTAAAGCACAATCTTTTCAAGCCATTGTTCATTGTTCTTTTAGGTGGAATGAGCTTAAAAGAAACATGGCTTTGTGTTGTTGTAAACTTATTCCATGCTTTATTTATTTATTTATATATCTGTGCTGTATTTACTCCCTGCTTTTCCTTTGGGATGTTTTCCCGTGACTCACGTGCATGCGTGTTTCATCATTTTCTTTTTCTCTGTCTGCTGTTCTGCCATGGGTTCTGTTTGCCTCCTCCAAGCCATCAGAGGAGTTCTTGATTCGCCAGAACTCGATGGCATTCTGGGAGTGGGATCAGGGCCTGCCCCCTCCTTTACGGCCACCTAAAAAATCATTCTCTGAATGTTGCCTGGTACGTGCTGTTCTTTAATTTTTTCCCCTCCAAGAGCTGCTTCCTTAATCACGCTAGCCACTGCTGTTTTATCTGGTAGACCATCATGCACTCCTCTGTGGTCATTGAAAGTGTGGTTCTAATTGGGCAAGTTGTCCCCACAGCACCGGGGTGGTGGTGGTATTCCATGCATTACAGTAGGACATCTCAGGAGACCACCAGATTCATCTTCATGGGCTGGTGAAAAATGAAAACGTAGACTTCAGTAGTGTAGTTATATGACTTTAGACTCTAGTTTTAATGGTCATACTAGGAAACTCTTTAGATACCTATGTGTATTACTTGGGAATATGCAAACGATTGTATATTTGAGAGATATCTACCTGTCCTGCTATATTGGATAGGTTGGACTCGCTCTAGGTCCCTCCATTCAGTGTCATCTGGCAGAACTAGAAGGTGAGCCTCTTCCATAGCTGTGCTTACTGCATGGAACAGTCTCTCCCCTGAGTTATGGAGAGTCCCGATCTGTCTTGCCTCCTGAAGGGACATTAAGGTCATGGATCCGATCTGGGTCAGTCACTGGGACCAGAGGTTTAGTCTTCCGAGCTTTTGGACTCATACTGGAGCCCATCCTCCTTAAGGTCATGTTTTTTTCTTCAAGCATTGGGGTGTGATGGGAAGTGAACTGAGTCTTTTTTTGGTTTTTTTTTTAAGAGAGTACCCATTTCAGTGCTGATGGTAGGCTAATATGGTATGTTTTAATCTTGGTGTTTTTCTTATTGGTGCATTTGTTAGTTGCCTAGGGTTGTTTTACATAATATAGATGGCATGCATTTTTTTCAGATAAAAACATAGCATATTTTTCATAGTGAAAATAAAACGGGCATTTTAAACTGTGAGGCCTGGCCAGACTAGTTTTCCATAACACACTCTGTTGCTCTCTCATGCACACCCATCTGCACACAGACACACACGTCTGTATCATACTGATGAGTTCCAGCATGTTCTTAATTACCCTGATTATAATATCAGCTCTTTTTTGTTGTTGACTTCTCACCTGCTTCTATTGCAGCATCCTCGGTGATTATTTGATGGGCTTTGGGCCCCTAGAATTGGACAGCTGCATGTTCTCCAAAGTCTATTCCTAGCTGCCTCACTAGCTAGAAATTTTTTTACATCTAAATTTAATTAGATGTAGTCTGTAAAAGAGTCCATAAAGATAATATCACTGGGTGTTTACTCTCAATTATCCAATTAGAACCTTCCTTTGAATGGCCAGCACGAATTCCCTTCCTATTCCTTTTCTTTTTTCTTAATTTGTTCATTACAATGTCCTCTCTTTTCCCCAGTTAGTTGCTGCTCGATATATTCAGAATAATTTGGGGGGGGGGGAGGGTGAGAAAGTAAATTATGGAATGCTGTTACAAAATTATGGATTATATAACATACCCTAAGCTTAGGAGGAAGATGGAAGTTTTGAGCTTTCCCAGTGTTGATCTTTACCATCCTTCGTAAAGATTTGTGTACCATCCTACTTCAAATGATTTATGGCAGTATAGTATAGTAAAACAATAAAAAAACCTCATGAAATTGACATAAACATAATACAGTAATCAATTCCAGAAGCAACTCAGATCTACTATCTGCACCACAGCTCATTGGAACAATTTGATCTTAACAACGTTGCCAAAAGTGAACATGTCAATGTATTCCATAATGTGGAGGCCACCCCTGAGAAAGTGTCCTCCCTTCCACCTCTTGTGGAGACCCCAGCAATCCTTCTTGGGATGAATGCTGAGATCTGGCTTATAGATACATCTACCTGACTATGTAGGACGTTTAAGGATAAAACCAACACTTTGGACAGGGGCTGGAAGCCTATTGGTAATCGATGCAATAAATTCCACAAAGGTGTAACATTACTTAACTTGTAACTTCCTGTTATTGGGGTGTTGCATTTTGGCCCCATTGCAGCTGGAGAGTCATTTTCAAGGGAGGCCCCGTGTAAAGCATATTGTAGTAGCTGAAACCTAAGGCGATGAGTACACGAATCGCAGTTGTTAGGGCTTTCCAATCCCAGGAGATCTGCAATTGACATGCCAACTGAAGCCAGGTGAAAGCTTGCCCCCCCCATATGCAAAAAAATCTATTTCCTATTTAAAATTCTGTTACTGCAGATGAAATTGTTGTAAGCTGCTCAGAGTCACTTTTTGTGCGATGGGAGCCATATAAATTAGATTAATAAATAAAATCCATGAAAATTGTAATACAGTTATAATTTTAGGGCAGGGAAGCCTTACAGGAGTTTCTGATAATCCCACAGTAGTGTTGTCCATTCCTCTGTGTGTTATGTGTGTTATTTATTTATTTAGGAAAATACAGAGAGGAGGAATCAACCATGAAGTTGATTCATGGTAGCAATGTACTTAATTCAAAGATCAGCAGGGATGAAGGAAGCCAGGAAAACCTGAAGATTTCATGAAAAGATGTTTCTGATCTCCAGATGTATTTACTAAGGAGGAGGAGGTGGTGGTCTACTCTTTGAGAAACATCACAGGCTCAGCCTGGTCTGTGTGTTTCTCCAAGGCCAACCAGCAGAAAGATTGATTGATTGATTAAATTTCTACATTCCGCCCCCATCTCACCTCAGTGACTCTGAGTGGTTTATAAATAAAACATAGAGTACTATAAAAACACATTAAAAACACAATTAAGGACAAAGTTAAAAATTAAGAGGTAAAGGGAGTAACCAAGCAAGCAAGCAACCCTCAAGCAACTAACCATTCCTAGGATTGCATATCATTCTTAGACTTCTCCCCATGCCAGTGGGGAGAGCTGGGTCTTGACACTCTTCCAGAAAGCCAGAGTTTTAGCCCTGCTCTCTGTTAAATTTGGTAATTGTGTATATATTGCATCCTCTTAAAAACGGTTCCCATATATTTATTTATTTATTTATTTATTTATTTATTTATTTATTTATTAATTATTTAAATTTATATACCGCCCTATCTCCCTTACAGGACTCAGGACGGTGAACAGGCAATAATAAAAATCACAATAAATATTGAATAAAAAGCCTGCTCTAAAATACCCCATATAAAACCCCTAGCAAAGCCCAATCAAAACTGCCCATATTATTCCTTAAAACATGTTGTTTCTGCCTTCATGTAAGTGCTTTACATAAAACAAGAAAAAAAACCCCTAAAGGATAGGGTTCCTCACCATAATGCTTTTTCCCAAAAACATTTTTTTTAAAATAAACCCTTCTGCACTAGTACCCTTTGCTGCCAGCTTCAAATTGCCGTGATGTATAGTTATTACATTTTGGTACAAAGTGAATTAGTCATATGAGGTTAAGCAGGACACTGCTACCTGCACTATTTTTTGGTATTCATTCATGTTCTCTTTTCTTACTGGATTAGAAATACATGCAAGAAGCAAGGACCCTGGGGAAAAATCTCAGACAGCCCAAACTCTCTGATCTTTCTCCTGCTGTAATTGCTCAGACAAATTGGAAATTTGTCGAAGGTTTACTCAAAGAATGTCGAATGAAGGTAAGTTTGTTATATGTACATGCACAGACAGAACATCCATGCTATGAAGTTAGGGAGTCTCCCAACCCACAAATGCTTGTTGATTTTGCTGTTCTGGCATTTTGAGTTGAAGAGCCTTGATAACTGGTCATTGTCCTTCATTCTATTGTCCTTCATTCTGTTTGTTTGCAGACCAAGCGTATGTTAGTAGAGAAGATGGGTCACGAAGCCGTGGAACTTGGCCATGGAGAGGCCAACATCACAGGTCTAGAAGAGAATACACTAATTGCTAGTCTTTGTGATTTGCTGGAAAGAATTTGGAGCCATGGATTACAGGTCAAACAGGTCAGTGACTTGAAAATTCAGATACTGTATACTCGTCTTCTATATTACTTCCATATATTATTTTGCCCAAAACATTCATTGCGGAATAGTTTGTCTCTCATCTTGGGAGAGGGTTGGAAATGTTTAAACAGCATTTCAACAGCTTCACAGTGAGAACAATTAATCAGTGTAATGGCTTGCCTCTGGAAGTTGTGGGTGCTCCATCACTGGAAGTTTTCAAGAAGAGACTGGACAGCCATTTGTCCAGAAGGGTATAGGGTCTCCTGCTTGAGCAGGGGATTGGATTAGAAGTCCTCCAGTGTCCCTTCCAACCCTATTATTCTGTGTTCTGTGTTCTAACTATGTTTGTTCTTATAAAAAGGGAAAATCGGCATTGTGGTCCCATTTAATTCAGTACCAAGAAAGAGAAGAGAAGCAGGAGCAGCTTGCAGAATCTCCAGGTGAGTATTACAGATATTTGCAGGGATAACATTGCAGGAACATTAGCAAAACTGTTAAGAGATAATAAAGGAGAAAGTAAATGACAGTTTAGCCCTGGGAGAGGATGGATGCGACAGAGACTCAAAAGGTTTCCCCCCCCCAATCTTTAATTATATCTTTAGTGGTAGATGAATATTTACGTCCAAGGATGTAATGTCTCAGATGGTCTTGCATAGTTGCAGCATTTTAGTGTAATGTATGTAATGAAATTAAATATGCTATTCTTCTTGTAAGTCAGGATGAATGATGAATGATGATTTTAGTCAATCAAAGAAACTATGATTTAATAGCACAAATCAAAGATTTACCCTACCTCTTCTAGGTACAAATATCCATTTAAGCAGATTTGTTGGCATACATTTTTATTTCTAATGGTCTCTTTCACTCTCTGATTAGGAAGGTACAAATATTTGTCAGTTGTGAATGATAATGAGCGTTTGGGAGAATGAAACAAAAGTGAAAATCTAAGGATTCAGTGGGATTATATGACTGGAGTGAAAGTAAAGTCTTTCTTTTATTCCAGTAAGGAAGGATTAAAATTCTTTTCTCACCTGTTAAATTGTATAACTATTTAAGTCTGGTCAGAATGAATAACTCTACACAGACATATTGACATCAGGGAATGTTCTTATTTTACCAATATGAAAAATGTAAAAACCGATATCAGGTTATATGTTTAAGTATAAGTTGTTGTTTTGTTTTTTTACTATTTTAGGATTGTACTCTTAGCTTTGCAAGTTTACATTAAGACTTTTCTCAAGTGTAAAAATACTTTGGAATAAATTTAGTTTGGTGCCAACCTTTGGCTTGCCCTGTCTAGCACAAAAACTAAACTTAATTGGTGCTGGGTAGTATGTGAATGAAGTTCATCTAGAACAGGAAAATAGACTGGGGTGTCAAGAAGCGTCATGGAACAAGGCAATGGCAGCCTTCTTCTGTACTGATATTAAAAAAACCTACATGGACTTGTCAATGAAATTACCAAGAGTCAAGCTTGACTTGAAAATATCATTTTTGATGATTCCCCTTAAACATTCAGACTTAAATTAAATAAAACAGGCAGCCAATTGCCATTGACAAATAGGACATTCTTTCTAAGTCTTAATTCAGATGGATTTCTCAAAGAGGTTTAATATTTTAGTAGATTTCTGTACTGAACATGTTACTAATAAATTAATGAATCTCCTCCTCGCTACCACTCTACAGTTGCTGTTGGACCAGAAAGAAGGAAATCTGACACAGGTCTTATGTTACCTATTCTAAGAGTTTCACTTATCAGTGATATGAGGTAAGACATTTAATTCCTAAAACTTGGGTTTTAAAGATTTATGCTTCAAATGAAAAAAAAGCATCAGAGCTTTCTGGCTGTCAGACACAGTTTATCATGGAGAGGTTTGAGTCTGAATAAAAATAATATGGGAAAGAAGTGAGATGGGATTCCTCCTTTTAGAAAATGTGTAAATTGGGCAGGTACCGGTCCGTGGCATGCCAGCAGCTGGTCTACACAAACAAGCAAAGCCCCATCCATGGGATGCAGGCAGTACACAAAACCATGCACTCTCCGGTCCGCGGAAAAATCTCTCTCCACAGAACCAGTCCCTGGTGCCCAAAAGGTTGGGGACCTCTGTGTTAGACTACACTGGGATAACAGTTCAAATCCCCAGTTAATCATATAGCACACCTAGGCAATTCATCAGATCTTTGTTAGTGTAAGTTTATCCCACTGGAATAAAAAGAAACAGGATGCATGTTGCTTGTAGCACCTTGAAAGAAGACGGGACTGTCTATCATTATTATTAGAGGTAGTTCTTGATTTAGGATTGGTCACTTAACAGCCATTAAAAATTATAGCCCATAAAGTAATTCTCACCATCATAAAACGTGCCAACCCCTGTGGTCACGTGATTGCATTTTAGGTCCTTGGCAACCAGCTTGCCTTAATAACCAGCTGCAGAGCACTACGGTCATGTGACCACAATTTTCAAATGTTGTTGCCAGTTTTCAGCATATTTATTTTTTGCCAGCTTCTGATAAAAACATCCATTCAGAAGAGTGGGTTTGCACTTACAACCATGGCGTTTGCTTAACAATTTAATGACTGCAACTGTTCACTCAATGACCAAACAAAAATGTTGTAAAATCAGATCCAGTGCCTCGACTTAAGACCATAACAACTTATGACCATAAATCTGGTCCCTACTGTGGTTATAAGTTGAGGACTCCCTGCATCAACATCCCAAATCAACCTACTTCAGAATGAAGGACTCCTGAGCTGCTTTCCAACCGCTTCAACATGCTGCAAGTTGTTTCCAGTTAACACCTCTAAATGAATTACATCACCTCCTCAGTGTTTCTTTGGGTATTTTCTGGGTCTTTTGTGGTTAACTGCTACCAATCAAGGACTGCTTTTGCTCAGTGTTGATCTCGTTATTACGTAATATGTCTAGCCCATTGTCATTACTGGAGGTCTGCCCGCTTCGTTGTGCTGCACACTCCTGTCTAATTGTGGATGTGTATGTTTCTTAATGTATACATTTTGCATGTGTGCATGAGTGTACGCAAGTATTTTGAGCTTTAAAAACTATTCAGTTCATTTGAAAAAGCCCAGACTTCATATTGTCTTTGTCTCTGTCTCTAAACCAATGTTCAGTTTGTATCTGCTGCAAGAAGCCTAAGAGAAAATGAGAAATAGAGGTTAATAATTTCTAGCCATCCTTTCTTTGCTAAATGGAGATTTGTCACTTTTTCACTGTTTGAGTGGAAATTGAATGCACTGCAAATGAGTTACAATTCCCAAAGAAGGATAATTATCATTTTTTTAAAAAAAACGTCTGGCAGCAAGATTTCTTCTCCCTTCTTCTCCCTTCCAAAAGCAAGATGAAACAGAGATGAACCAAGGAGAAACAATTTGTGGCAGGGCCTGGAGTATCAAGAAGTACAACAATTACATATAGTCCTTGAGTCACGACAGTAATTGGGACTGGAATTGTCATCGCTAAGGCGATCAAACGGGTCAGTCCTAGAGGAGATCAACCTTGACTGCTCTTTAGAAGGTCAGATCCTGAAGTTGAAACTCAAATACTTTGGCCACCTAATGAGAAGGAAGGACTCACTGGAGAAGAGCCTAATGCTGGGAAAGATAGAGGGCTATAGAAGAAGGGGACGACAGAGAATGAGGTGGCTGGATGGAGTCACTGAAGCAGTAGGCGTGAGCTTAAATGGACTCCAGAAGATGGTAGAGGACAGGAAGGCCTGGAGGAACGTTGTCCATGGGATCGCGATGGGTCGGACACGACTTCGCAACTAACAACAACAACAACAAAGCAATGTAATCATAAAGCTCAACATCATGTGACCTCATCACTTAGTGATAGCAATTCCAGCATCCCTTAATGGGAATCATTAAGCAGGAAGAGGTAGGAGTCCCAGGCAAGATTGGGGGTATCGCAGGCAGGCACGATGGAGCATGGGGGGCTGCGAAAGGATTGGCAGAGGCCACCACCGGGCAGGGAGAGGGCTGTGGGTGGGCATACGCTATGAAGTATAAGTAGGCAGGGAGTGCTAGTTAGCAGGCTCCTCAGAGAAAAAGCGGCAGGAGTGGCTTACTGGTGGTACAGGCAGCCTTCCCTGCCAGTTTCACCATTGACTTTGCTTGTGGGAAGCTGGCAGGCAAAGTCACAGACGGTGATTATCTGATGCCACTCATTGTGACTTAATCACGAGCCGGGCCCCCAAGTACCTGGATCATGACCATGTGACCACAAGGATGCTGCGATGGCCAGAACCTTGAGCACCACTTGTCCGTTTTTTCATTGCTGCTATAACTGCGAATGGTCACTGAAGAAATGGGCGTGAGCCAGAGATTATCTCTATAGTCTAGGCCAGCTTTCTCATATTCAAGGTACATGTTTTGCTTATGTATGCATCTACGCACTCGTGCCTTGATATTCATTCACTTTGTTTTGCTGCATCTCCTGTTAAGCCAGGATGTGGCCAATAATAGATCTCAAATTCATTTTTTGATAATCAGTAGTTACATGCTGTGCAAACATGACGTGTAAATGTTGTTTTACCCCCAACTTGCATTGGCTTGTTCCAATGTACTATCCCTTTAACTATCTGCTCAGAACAGGTAAGGGATACAGGATTGCTACCCAACATTCCTCAGTCCTACTATTCAAGGCCAAATGTAGGTACTTGAGTTGTAATCCCATGGGTTTAATCATATTATTCCTAATGCTAGATCTAATTGGTTAGACAAAGCCCAGTTGCTGCATTTTTAATCATTGTTTTCATACCAGCTATCAAAGTCAACAAAAAGAGAATCAAGGAAGCTGATTACAGGTAGTCCTTGAGTTGCAACCAGTCTTCAAAGCTACACAACTCTCCCAAATGCTACTTGTGACCCAGATCCAAAGTTATGATGGTTATGTGACTGCATTTCAGGTGTCCAGCCACTACCTACATTTACTGCTAAGCTCAATTACAGTTGTAAGTCAAGGACTACTTGTAATTGTCAAGTTCTATCAGAATGCACATATGCATTGGTTTCAACCTTCTGGATCCAAGCTAACAACCTGCCTCCAGAAATTGTGAATGCTCCAACACTGGAAGTTTTTAAGACGAGACTGGACAACCATTTGTCTGAAATGGTATAGGGTTTCCTGCTTGAGCAGAGGGTTGGACTAGAAGACCTCAAAAGTCCCTTCCAACCCTATTATTGTTGTTGTGATGCACAGGACAGAGCATTTAAAGCATCCTTGCAAAAAGCCTGAACATTATTCCTTCCCAGATTGTAGCATTCTATCGAGCTGCAGAATAATAAAGCTATCATTTGCTGGGTCTGATCTGCTTCCCTGCCTCATTGCTTTGAGCATATTTATGCTTACAGTAGAGGAAGCAGAGGCCAGGCTGAGGCTGCTATGTTTCTCTTGGGTGCTGCTAATATTATTTATTCTCCCGTTGTTGCTCGCTTGCTTCCATTTTCCTCAGTAGTGTCAGGAAAATGATTGATATCACCAAAGCTGCGCTTTAAATGGAACTCATCACCAACAATGGAGGAGTGGGAAGTTTCAGCTTTGATGTAGTCCCTATCAAAAGGCTTTAAATAGTTACAAGTGAGTGTTTTTCATCACGACGGGAGCAAATAATGTGCTTGTCATATTTCTCAAGGATTTTTGATCACATGCCTGGTTGTGCTGTGTTTGTTAGCCCCAAGAGCTGCTTGTCAAAGACAGTGCCCCTCCAAAAAGGGGGGGGGAGAGTTTGCTTTGCAGAGAATCTTGCAAGCAGGAGAAGCAAGTCTTGTTTTATAGCAGTTTGGATGGTTGTGTGAGTCACAGCTCAAGGAGAGCAGCTGTGGGGGTCCCTAACAAAGAACAAAAGGAGTTGGAGAGGATTATCTCACCCTTGAAATGGCTGGATGAATCAGAAGGGCTCATTTTACCACTTAATTTTATGCAAGCAGCGGGGGAACCACAGATAGCATAGTTATTGTGTGCAAAAACTGATGAATTGGGATATGCTAATTAAGCGTTGACAGCAGCACTATCTCCAGTGCAGCAGCAGGCAAGCTCTGCAGCATTTTTTAAACTTTCCATACATTGTAATGAATTGCAGTGTGGCACATGGTGGAGCCCACTTTTGCTACAACAGTGCAGCAATTGCTGCAGGAATGGGGGCAGGGCTGGCATAGGGAGGTGCTACAGAGGAAATTTCTTTCAAGCAGCACATATTCACTACACCATCCCTTCTCTCTGCTCAGTTGGTCTAAGAACCGGGAATTGGGAGAATGCACAAAGAACCAGAATTGCAGAATCCACTCCATCAAAATGCGCATGTTTTTTTTACTCTTTGGGCCTTGGACTGCTATACACAGCTTTGCTTGGTTTGCTTGCTTACCATAACTCTTCGGTTTGTGACTTAACAAATCTGGGAGCCTTCCTAAATGTGCAGTTTTCAGATCATACTTCTCCAGCTACAGAGCTGTGCCTGAGATTCTGGAATTTGAGGTTCACAGGCTCTGGATCTCCTCTATAATTTGCTGCTTAGATGTTGCTTTTGAGTGTGAGAGAAAGCGTAGGTTTTGCATACATCGGTGGGTTTTGCATATATCAGTGGCTGGTTTCTTTCGTCTTCTTCATTTCAGTTTGTTTTCTAGCCTTGTTTACTTTTTGGAGTGGTCTCCCCAGCACACTATACAAAGACTAAGTTTGAAAACAGTTGCACCCGCCCTATTCTGCTGCATAGGCCAATGACCAAGTTTCTTCAGCTTGCTAAGCTACTTAATTTCCTTTCCATAATTTATTTATTATGTTTTTATCCTGCCTTTATTATTTTTAACAACTCAAAGTGGCCAGCATATATAATACTCCTTCCTCCTCCTATTATCTCCATAACAACAACCCTGTGAGGTGAGTTGAGCTGAGAGAGACTGACTGGCCCAAAGCCACCCAAATGGTTTTCATGCCTACGGCAAGACTAAAACTCACAGTTTCCTGGTTTCTAGGCAAACACCTTTACCTCTGCGCCAAAGTAGCTCTACTACACTGAAGGGATGATAATTCATTCTGAGAACTCCCAAGTAGTCCAAATCTGGAGGCCTTGTTTTCTTACCTTGTGTTGACCATATCACAACATACATTTTGTAGTAAATCATGTAGAAAACTAGACTTCCCTTTTAAATTCCTCTTCTTATTTATAATATTGTTACCATTCCCTACAAACCTTTAATTTCACCAGAAAGGGGATTCTGGGTCACACAATCTGTTAATCAGCAGAAAAAGACATTCTCTTGACTATTACTCCATGAGCTTGAGGTTTCTCCACCCTTACACTAATAGTCAATTTTTCTGTAGTGTAGAAATGCTTTCCAATAGATGTTAATTGTGCTTCTTCCTCTTCTTCTTTCTTTCCTGAAGGCACATTCAGAACATGAGTGAAATAAAGACTGATGTGGGTCGGGCGCGGGCATGGATAAGACTGTCTCTTGAAAAGAAGCTCTTGTCTCAACACCTGAAACAGCTCCTCTCTAATCAAGCTCTGGCAAAGTAAGTTCTTCAAGGCTGGTCTTTCTGGAATCCTCATTTCAGGTAGCAATTTGATGTGAATCTTTTCCAAGAGTAAGTTAATCGAACTCAAATTTAAGATGGCATATGAAGCAGCTCTTTAGTTCTGCCTGAATGTTAGGAACCTTGGCTTGGAATTAAAGTAGCTTAAGTTTCAGCGAAGATCCTGTATTATTCCAAGGTAGCTTTTCCAGTTAATGTTCTTGAAAATACTGCTATCATCCTCAACCAGCATGGCAATTAACTCTTCATTCAATTCTAAATTATGAGGCTGAAAGAGAAAAAACATGACTAACCTAGAATTGAAATGGAGGAGGGGGAGAGTTTGAGTTAACTTTTGTTATGTCACTGAGATTCTTGAGCTCAGAATTCTTTTGATTCTTTGTGAATATCTAACTCAAGTTGGTGGATATTAAGGTTCTAGAGCACAGGTGTCAAACTCGATCATGTCATGTGACGTATCATGACGTATCTTGATGTTTTTTTGCCTTTGTGGAGCCAGGGTGGGTGTGGCTTGCACGTGATGCATCCGGCCCTTGGGCTGCCAGTTTGACACCCCTGTTCTAGAGGGGAAAAAAATACAGTAGGTCCCACTAAACTGAAACTTATTGTAACCATTCTTGATTCAGCACACTTCATTGGCCTTTCTGTAATGTTGAAAGACAATTACAACTTTCTTTCATTAGATTCTCACAAGTTTTACCTATTGTTGTTGTCCATAAGATATTTCTTACTCCCTGCAGGAAATTATACAAGCGGTATGCCTTTTTGCGTTGTGAAGAAGAGCGGGAACAATTTCTCTATCATCTTCTTTCTCTCAATGCTGTGAATTACTTCTGCTTTACAAGTGTCTTCACTACCATCAGTAAGTAGGGATAAAAAGCTGACTGTATACTTCCATTAAAAAGTCTGTAATCAAGCCACCCCAAGGGAGAACTCCAGATAATTGTCTGGGAATTATCATTGGATAATAGCACAATATATGTTATGCTACGTTATGTTGTGCCTTTCCCAACCTGGATATTTTTCAGATATGTGGACTTCAACTCCCAGAATTCTCAGCAATGAGCTTGCTGGGAGAGGATTGAAATCTATACATTTGAAAGATGCCCAGTTGGGGAAGACAGTTTAAGAAGTGATCAAATTCATGTTTTGTTTATTTAAATATAATTAATAATATAATTTATTTAATAATAGTAATATAAATTATCATTACAATATTTAAATGCCTCAACAAATGTAAGAGATCGCAAAGAAATATATCTTGGATAAAGAAAGTGTTTAAAATATGAAAGAGCTTACACATCTTAGTCTAGAGCAAAGTGGGCTTTCCTCGAGAGCATGGCAAAGTGAGGGGGCCATTCCTGAGAAATCCCCGTCTTCCTACCACCTTCCAAGCTTCAGACCGTGGGTGCACTCAAGAACTTTTACTAGATACTTATGGAGAAGGTCTTTTGCAGGACCCAAGATCTTTAGATCTGCGTAATAAGGCAGGTGACTTCCAGGAGTTTGAATGGTTATATGGTATTTTTATAGTCTATTAATAAATGGACTATATTAATTAAAGATTCCAAAACAGTTTAAATTATGCTTACATTAACAAAAAACAAATATTCTAGACTATAGTCTTTGGAATGGTGGGTTTCCTTCACCCATGGAACTGCTGTTATTCATTGTAACGTCAAGCAACAGGTATGGATTAGAGTTGTAGTATGAAGGTTTAGTAAAAGCTACTCTATTCCATATTATAACTGCTACTCTGCTGCTGAATCTTGAGGGTGTGGCATGTCTTAAGGATAACAGTACCAGATTTGGGGTGGAGCATGGGGTGGCTGCATGGAGCATTTGAAGGGCATTCTCCCAAAATGATTGACCTAATAGTGGTGGACATCATAAAACTCTCATTTATCAGCAGAGAATCCCTTCAGGATAAATGTGGGTTCAGGAACATTTTTGGAAATTAAGATTATGCAGTTTGGTTTGATTGCAGCATGCTAACATCATATTATGTGTTAAATTAAAAAGAATCTGGAAAAAAAATTAGCAGGCAAGGCAGTTGTCCTTGTATTTACCTAACAGATGCTAGAGTCCTTTGAGTTCCTTGTTTATATTTATGGACATCCTCTGGAGGAAACATCTCTAATTTCTAAATGTTTCCATTGCCATATGTACTTGCTTATTTTTGAAAATGTGTAATTTTTATCTTGAAGTTATTTTAATTGCTGCTTTTAGATTGAGATTTGTTTTTTGTTATATCTGCTGTTTTTCCATTTAAGCCAAACGGAATATTTTTACACTACCAGATGGGCAGATATTGGTAAAATAATGAAACAAAACACTTTGAGTGAAAAAACATATTGAATCGTATAAAGCATCCAGTTATCTATAACATTCTAATAGATGGCTCACACTAATTTCAGTCCATATTAATTTTAGACATGTTCATTAATTTGTGATTATTTTAAGTTTTGGTTCATTTGTTTGTTTTCTGGCCTCCTTCTATAAAAGTCTCTGGGTTTTTTAAAAGTTACAAATAATATAGGGAAATAATCTTTTAGTATACCGTAGTCCTCTGCCTCCCTCTCTCCATTCCACCTCCTTTGTCGGATAATATTACAAAACAATATCTGAATAATGCCTTCTGATCTATGGGTGGTCTGGGAAATGCTGCTGGAGTTCTTCTCTTTAAAATGTGACCAACCAAAGATGGTTTAATGGTTTGAACAATTAAAAGATTTTTAATCTAGATACTGTGGAATCCTGACATAATCGGTTTTAATTTTCTAGGTTTTTTAAAATGTATATATTTCAAAAATGATGTATCAGTCATTTACCTGAACTTAATCTATCAGACATTGAATGATCCAGAATTTCTATCTTTTCACCAAATCTGCAAGGTGGTTTAGGCTGAGTCAGAGATGTCATAGGGCTACGGTTTGGAGGTCCCTTGGGCCAAATCCAGCCATCTGGTCACAGCAAAGATAAAGAACTTCTGGGGATCAGCATAACATCACTCCATATGGCCTTGGTTTGCTGCCATTTTTTGCAAGACCTGCTGATTGACAATCTCTTCATGCATGAAGTGTAATTTCCATTCATTTTTTTATGATTCCCAAGACAATGTGAACACTTCTAATCAGACTGTTGATGTATTTATCTACCCGACTCTTTAATGATTCTGCACAGCTTGTAAAAAACAACATATAGAGAAACAACACAACCAGCCAGAAGGGTACTAAAACCAAAAGCATTGGGATTCTCCCCTATCTTGAGGCCTGGGGTTCTCTCCTATCTTGAGGCCTGGGAGAACAATCTCCTATCTTGAGGCCTGGGAGAACAATCAAGTTTTAATTATTTTATGAATGACATTAGGGTGGAAATTACAAATCTCTGGAGGCATGTCATTCCAGAGGGCAGGCATTGCGGCAGAAAAGACATGCTTCCTGAGTCCCACAAGGTGACATTATTTTGATCAACAGGAATCACCAGTTCTGCTTGTGTCGGGCCTTAAGAGGTGGTCGAGTGAAGAAACCAAAACCTACTTTTATTGTAGGCTCACAGTAAGAGAGTCTGCAAACACTCCCCCCCTCCTCGCCTTTACTTTCCTAGGTCTCTTTTGTGGAGGGTCCTCTCTATGATGTCTCCATGCCCACCTCCCTTCTGTCAACTGAGATACCTTTTGTTTGACCATCGTCTAGGTTGTGGCTCTTCCTCCTCCAGTCTCCCAAGGTCTTTCTCACTGATCTCATTGGAGTGGTAGAAATAATTGAGAACAAGTGTTTCCTTAGGTAACCAGGCTCTATGCCAAAAAGGGCTTTATAGGTGAAAACCAGCACCTTGAATTTATTTATGATTAAATTTATATGCTGCCCATCTCACCAATGTGGCTACTCTGGGTGGCTTACAAAGAGTAAAGAGAGAAATATTATTATTTTTTAAAAAAAAACTACATAAAAAGTTAGAACAAGAAGACCGACTGCATTGGGATGAGATTTTACCTGGACAACCACCTTCAGTCCCCTACCCCATCTCTCATTTGGAGAGGAGGATAACAATCATTCTGTACAGCTAGTCCTCGACTTATGATCACAACTGAGCCCCAAATTTCTGTTGCTAAGCAAGAGTGAATTTTGCCCTATTTCATGACCTTTCTAGCCACAGTCATAAGTATGCATTAGTTGCCAAGCATCTGAATTTTGATCACGTGACTATGGGGATGCTGTAATGGTTGTAAGGGTAAAAAAAAGGTCATGTCACTTTTTCAGTATTGTTGTAACTTCAAATGGTCACTAAACGAACCGTTGTAAATCAAGGACTACCTGTATAGACTCGTAAGTGACCCCTAGTGGTGAGAGTGAATTGCACACAGAAAGGAAATGGTAATGGGTACAGTTCTTGAAGCAAAGGAAATATGTGAGCAATGGGAATATGTGACCTAGCTTATCCAAGACCAAAGATAGAACATATCCAGAACTATAAGTCTGCCACTCGGTCTTGTCAGAATTGAACTATTGCAGTGATGGCGAACCTTTTAGAGACCGAGTGCCCAAACTGCAACCCAAAACCCACTTATGCATCGTCGGGTGCCAGGTGGGTGTGGCTCATTGGCTGGGTGTGGCCAATTGGGGTGTGTGGCCCATTGGGTGGGCGTAGCTTTGGTGGTAACGGCAGACTGGGTGGGACTAAAAAGTTCAATTAATCAATTCCAACTTTGCAAGATCTTTTTTTTTCCTGCGAGAAGTTGAAATTGACTGATTGATTGAACCTTTTTTTTTTGTACATGGCGGCGGAGGCCTAAAGCGAAAAGGTTTTATAAAACCCAGCTGAAGACCTAGGACTGGGGCGACGGCGCGGGTGCCCACAGAGAGGGCTCTGAGTGCCACCTCTGGCACCCGTGCCATATGTTCGCCATCACTGAACTATTGAATCTATTTCTCTTCCATTCAGCCCTGTACATCCATGCCCTTGAGTCAGGCCCAAGGAACCAAGAACGACACACGGAGTTACTTCTGAGTACTTTCTTTATTATTGTTTGCCTGTAGACAGAAATCTTGCCAGACTAAAGCAACTACTTGCATAACTATTAGATATACTCTGTGAACTACTGGGGGGACAGGGTCCACCTTCGTCCTTTTCCTGCATACATACGATCTCTGATGTCTCTTTGCTCTCTGAAAGAGAGCCCTTCCCTCCTGCAACTCTGGACCACATTCCACCACACAAACAGGCCCTATTATGCACATACATATAACAATAGAAGCGTTGCTTTCTGATACGAAATACAAAAGAAATTTGAACCAAATAGAAAGAATTTTTAATGTAATACCAAGGGAGATGTACGTAGATGTGGATGAAAATTGTTCTTTAAAGACGTGCCAAAAGTGAGACAGATTCTCTCTGCAGATATCTTGAGAGATTTAGCAGGGCATCTCTAGGACAGGGGTTCTCAACCTTGGCAACTTTAAGACTTGTGGACTTCAACTCCCAGAATTCCTCAGCCAGCTTTGCTGGCTGAGGAATTCTGGGAGTTGAAGTCCACAAGTCTTAAAGTTGCCAAGGTTGAGAACCCCTGCTCTAGGAGCATAAGAAACAAAGACGAAACCTGTAGAAAACAATCCATTGCCTGGTTTTTGAGAGCTCCTGTCTTAATTTCCCACAATGCCCTGGAATGATGTATCAGCAGCCTTGTGGGAAAATTTGGATGGCAACTGGCAGAGCCACCTTCCTGGTGCAGATAGAAATACTTGCAGCTCAGGGCTGATGGGAACAGCTTGAACAGGGGTCTTCAAACATGGCCCTTTTATGACTTGTGGACTTCAACTCCCAGAATTCCTCAGCCAGTGTGCCTGGCTGAGGAATTCTGGGAGTTGAAGTCCACAAGTCATAAAAGGGCCATGTTTGAAAGACCCCTGAGCTTGAAGATGCTGGATCTGAAACATGTGTTGCACTGAGATATACATTTGTATTATATATCTCACAAATAACATCTATGAGCATCATTCCATGGTAATATATGCCCTAACCTGTTGCTATGGAAACAGGAGGAAAAGAATGACTTTTTTTTTTGTTTGGGCTTGCTTGTTTGATTTTGCCTGTGATGTTTATCCAGTTTTCTAAAAATAAAAATGACATGAATCTGCAGTTTCTAAATTTATCTGTCTTCCCATTTTGGCTGTGCAGTAACAGCAACATCTAGTGGCTACATACGTTAGCATACAATAAAAAGCCAACGATTTTGCTATGCAAGATGCATCCTTTCAGCCAGCCAAGTCATGCTGATGTTATTTTCTTTTCTGTGCAGAGAAGAATTCACCATCCCTGCGGTGAAGTTTGGCTTTATTTTGTTGATTGTCCACTTTTCCAAACATCACCTCATAAGCACCCAACTGAACATGAATAATAATATTTAAAACAATTTAAACCTAGGATTTAATTTTGATGTGTACAATAAAAAAGTATTTTAATTAAGTTTTAGAACAGGGGTAGGCAACCTTGGCTCTTTTATGACTCGTGGACTTCAACTCCCAGAATTCCTCAGCCAGCCATGCTGAGGGGAAAGGGAGAGTTTCCAAGCTGAGCCATGCTGGCTCAGGAATTCTGGGAGTTGAAGTCCACGAGTCATAAAAGAGCCAAGGTTGCCTACCCCTGTTTTAGAAGGTTACCTCCAAAGGGGTTAATCTAACCTCAAGAGGGAGGTTGTTCTAAAGTACAGAGGCCATGAATGGAAAGCAGCATCTCCTTGCCTCGGCCCAGCAAAACCTCAAGATAATGGGACACCACCTGCAGATTTCCCTAGAATTGAAATCTTGGATGAGTCAGTTCTGATTCGAGAGGACAGTCCTGCAGGTACAAAGGTGCAAAGACTTAAAGAGATTGAGAGTTTAAAACCAGCACTTCGAATTGCACTGAGAAACCTATTGGCAGCCAGTTCAGAGTCTGCAACAGAAGTTTGAGTGCCAGCCAGCCAGCAATCTGGATTGTTCCTTCTGAGCAATCTTCAAAGGTAGCCCCAGTTACAGTAGTTTAATTTCAGTAGTAATAGTAGTCCAGACAAGCGATAATAAAAAGTTTGGGTCACTGTAGCCAGGTTCTCTTCAGTCAGGCCTGGGGTGCTGATGGACAGTTCAGTATAATCTGCATATTGATAACTATACCTCACCTAGATCTGACAAATGGCTCTTCTAGCAGCTTCTTATAAATGTTAAAAAGCAGGAGAGAGAACCAAATACAGTGAATGTGCTAAATTTAGAAAAAAGCCAACTAGCCTTGGATCCTGTGAAGGAAGGAACATTCTTCTTTGTGAACCTGCTTTTCAAAAAGTGCGACTGAAATTCCTGTTTAAGAAGTGTATTTACTTTTTAGAATGTTTAGATGATGCAGTGTAGAATGTTTTTCTTCTTTCTTTATTGCTTGGGCTGCCTCTAAACAATACTTTTCTGATTTAAAAACCTGTTGCTTACACATAACAGAACCCTTAAGATAATGTGGTAGCCTTCCATTAAAAAAAAACATTTAAATAGGAATGTGTCAATCAATATCCATTAGCAATATTTAAATGCAATATAACATATACAGAGTTATCATAGCCTTGAGTACAAGCAGTCCTCGATTTACAACCATTCATTTAGCAGACATACAATGGCATTGGAAAAAAATGACTTATGACTAGTACTTACAATCAGTGCAGCATTCCCATGATCAAAATGTAGGCACTTAGCAATCAGCATGCATTATGACTCTTGCAGGGTCCTGGTGTCATGTGATCACCATTTGCGATCTTCCCAGCTGGGTTCACTTAACAACTGCATGATCCACTTAACAACCATAGTGATTCACTTAACAACAATGGCAGAAAAATCATAAAATCAGGCGTAACACAATTAACCATCTTGCTTAGCATAAGTCAAGGACTACCTGTATATTTGGGGTAAATTTGGGGTAAAATGATGGTGTGATGTGTTATATTGTCTAGATGGAGTTCTAGTTTGGGCTTTTTTATTTTTGCTGATATTCCAATATGTTATTTCTTGCTAGAAGGCTGTATTTATGGCTGGCTTAGACAGACTTGTAATTACCACTGTTTGCCGTTACAGTGATTCCATACAGAACTGTGATTATCCCCATTAAAAAGCTAAGCAACGTAATCACTACATCAAACCCTTGGATTTGTGTTTCTGGAGAACTGGGTGATACTGGCATTATGCAGATTCCAAAGAACTTGTTAGAAATGACGTTTGAGGTGAGTTTAGTGTCCTATCCTATCCTTCCCTGCCTGCTATGGCAAATGTTGGATTTTGAGTATCCAGGAAGTGCTTGCTCAAAAACCTTGGAAAAACCTCTGAGCATAGCACAGCATTCCTCTCAAAAAAACACACAAACGTGTGCAGCACTAAGCTGTTGGTATGGAAAGAAACATGCTTGCTGTTCAATAAACCCCGTGTTCTCATGCAACAGAAGAAGTTTTATTCTGCCACTGTTTTCCTTTTTTAAAGATTTGACAGTAAAGCCTATTTTTAAAAAATCCTTTTTCCCCGTCGCTCATAACATGATATTCTGGTGATGTTTCATTTCCAGAGTGGTGTTAATGACATAAATCAAGTTCATAAGAGCCTAAATATTATTGTCAGCTAATGGAATAAAGGAAATTACTAATAATGGTCATAGAACTTTTTCACATAGCCTTAACAATAATTTGTCTGGTCATGTCATTGTGGCTTGTATAACAACTGGAATTCCATAAGAGTATGGCATATTTTTATCTTATGGCCCCTGAAAGTGGGGGGAAAAGTACTTTTGGCATATAGAATTCAACCCCAGCCTGAATTTGCTCTTTGTATTTTTTGTGTCTTCATTTTTATCAGAATGAATTTGTTCATGGGACAGGTGTCCACTTCCCTGCATGTTATTACATCAGGGATCCTGAAAGGGATCCAAATGTAGCCTTACTTAAGGAAACTCTATTTAGCCTTAGTCTCCCACATGTATGAATTTATGAGCAATCAAACTGACATATGACAGAAAACATCCACATTGCTTCAAACATAATGCATTTTGAAACATGATTTCACACATTTAGCTGTCAGTCAGCAAAACTATTCAAGTGTGCATGTCCATCATTTAGTATTATATTTGTGTACTCTCCTGGAAGACGAATGGCTCTTTGTATGAATTAACTGCATTGTGCTGGAAGTGACATTTGCTGAAACATACCTTCTGTCTGTCTCATTGGATTTCAGCAATCCATACAGTCATCAAAGAATGGATACATATGTGAACTAGACCACAATTGCTTGGACTTCAGCTGTTCACTCAGACCATTCATTTGTAATATACATGCAAGCTTCATCAATCCAACTGTATTTGTCTTTTTAAGCAAAAAAAAAAAAGTGGGGGATGGTGGTTTTGCCTACTGTGTATATCAGAAGTACAATTAGGATTTAATTGTTCCCCCTCCTTTTTTTCTTTTTGTTTTACAGTGTCAAAACCTGGGGAAGCTAACAACTGTTCAGATAGGACATGATAATTCAGGACTGTTAGCCAAGTGGCTGGTGGATTGTGTCATGGTCAGGAATGAAATCACTGGACACACCTATAAGTAAGCAGGGAAAACACAAGTAAACCATTTCTAAATGGCCACACAGATTCAGCTTCGTTTTCATGTCCTTGCAGTATCACATAACTGAATATGATTATTTTCGTGTATAAAAGTAGACCTCAAAGTACAACCGTATAGTTTGTGATTATTTGAAATTACCGTGGCACTGAAAAAGTGACTTACAATGGATCCTCGCACTTATGACCATCGCAGCATCCCCACGGGCATCTGATCAAAAGTGGACACTGTATGTCCAAGGGTCATGTTATTGCCATTTTCAACTTTCCCAGTTGGCTTCCATCAAGCAAAGTCAATGAGGAAAGCCAGATTCGTTTAATAGCAGTAACATTTAAAGACTTACATACTACCCCATAGTTTTTATAGCACTCTCTGGGAGATTTACAATGTTAGCACATGGCTTCCCCCAACAATCTGGGTCCTCATTTTACCAGCCCTGGGAGGATGGAAGGTTGAGTCAACCTTGAGCCCCATCAGGATCGAACTCCATGCTATGGGCAGAGTTAGACTGCAACACTGTGTTCTAACCACTGCATCATGTGATTCACTTAACAACTGCAATAATTCACATAACTGTGGCAAAAAAAGTCATAAAATTGGGTGCGACTCATTTAACAATTTCCTTCCTTAGCAATAGGAATTCTGGTCCCAGTTGTTATCGTAAGTCAAGGACTATCTTTATCACTTTTGATTAGCGAATTGCCCTTGCAGATTAATGTTGCTATTTAGGCTACCCTTTTTAAAGAAATGTACTACTCTGTTTGCAAATACTAATTTGAAAAATATTTTTGGAACAGTTTTTTTTAAATATGAGATGTTAGAGAATATTGTTTAAAGCTTTGAGACTGCAAAATTTTAAAGAGTTTTTATTGAGGGGGTTTTAACGTTCGCCAGATTGTAATCTCAAAGTAGATTCTAATTGTTCAAAGAGAAAATAATTATTTGTCCAATCTGGCAATGCTTTATAAGAAATCTGCGAGTTTTCAAGTAGAAATATACTTTTCTTGATAACTGTCAGATCCAAAAAAGGCAAAACACCACCACCAAGCATTCATCTGCTAATAGAAAGTCAAAAGTTGAAGCTAGACCAAGCTAGACCAAATCAGACAAGGAAATGGAGCTCTCTGTAAATCGGATTCACTTTCTGTACATACATTTGTATTTTGTTTTTCTTGATTATATTACAGCTATAAAAGTTGGAAAACATTCTCTGTTCTGAAATTTTTTAAAAAAGTTTTATCTTTATAGGAACATTGTGCTTTTGGGGGAGAGGGAAAATGTGCATTCTCAGGAAGCATAACATAGCTAGAAAAACACTTCAGATTCTATCTTGCTTAGCCAAAAACCAGCACAATTCCATGTCCCATTATATCATAAAGCACCATTTATCTATGTATACAATACTCAAACAATTCTAGGAAGTCAGTTAATGTGCAGAAGAGTTGATACTGCAAATAACATCTCCCCTCTGGCTGTATGAATCTTTATGGCTAAGATATATACCAGTGGTGGTGAACCTATGGCACGGGTGCCAGAGGCGGCACTTGGAGCCCTCTCTGTGGGGACACGTGCCGTTGCCCCAGCCTTGCCTCCACCCGTGACCCCCTCCTCACCAGCAGCCTCCCTGGAGGAGAGTCACCCCTGAGCGTGGCCCACACAGAGCAACGCAGCCAAGGACATGGCAGCCAGGCAGCGTAGACAAGACTCTGCCCTCACGTCCCAATGCACACAGTTGATGCTGTGGGCGGTGGGCAGAGGGCATGGCCGCCATGGCGCTGCTGGGCTGCCTGGGCGATCTGTGGCGGGCCCTGGAGGTGGTGAGTGGCCCTGCGGGCAGACAGGGCGGGGCGGAGTGGGGGTGGGGCAGGGGCAGGGGATGGAGCAAGGGCGGGGCCAGTTTTTGGACACTCGGTCTCTAAAAGGTATATATCACTGATATATACCAATTCTGCAGTGATCTCAGACTTAAGGACTGACCGGAAACTGAGAATGTGTTATACAACACATGTATGCAAGATGCTGTGAAATTAATCCTGCCTTAGCAAGAACCTAGAACTCAACTGCATTTTCCTCTCCTACCTTCAGGTTCCCTTGTGGAAGATGGTTGGGAAAAGGTGTTGATGATGGAAGCTTGGAACGTATACTGATTGGAGAGTTACTACGATCATCATCAGAGGAAGATTTGGGGAAACAGTGCCGGACCCCCCCTCAACAAAAATCTCCAACTGTGGCCCGAAGATTGAGCATGACTTCCCTAACTGGGAAGAATACAAGTATGAGCAGCTATTGTCAGTGATAGCTTCTTGCATTGCTATCAAGCATACAGGATGATTATTGGGGAAAATGTTTTGCCAATGAGAGATAAATATTTAGAATTTTAGTGGACTTCGTGCTACAGGTATTATTTTTCCCACATGAAGTAGGTATATAAGGATCTTGCTGGGTCAGGCCAAGGTCCTATTAATTTAGAATCCTGTTACTATACCAGGCTTTTAAGCTGCATTGAACTTTTAGTCCAGGTGTATTCAACACTTCCATTCTCTAGATCAGGGGTCTTCAAACTTGGCCCTTTTATGACTTGTAGACTTCAACTCTAGATGTTTTAAATCTTCAGTAACATTTCATACACTGCAGCCAGAATCTGATGATATTTAGGAACTGAAATTTTTAAAATGGGTCTCTGCTTTAATATAAAATTAGTCTTAATGGACCAAAACTTTCTCAGGCTAGACTAGTCTCAATTTCTGAAATATACATTTTTGTTATTATTTTTAGTGTTATGATGAATATCAAAGTATTGAACTTCTTTTTAAATCAGGGACCATTTTTTAAAAGGAAGCAAAGAAAGGCTAGCCAAAAGCAATTATATTTCTTTGAGAAGCTCACAAGCCTGACAACTATAACCCTGTCCTACATATTGTTGTTTCCCAACAATTGACATTCAAGTATTCAACTCTTTGATTGTAGATACCACAATTGATTATCTTGTACTCCATAAATACAATGTGTCTTTTACAGTTGTCCAATAGAGGCCTGCTATTTTAACAGTAATAATGAAAAAGTAACATAATATGCATGATACAGACCCCAGCCTTTCATTCTACCCTCAAGCCACACATTGGCTGCAAGGTCATAAGTGACATGTTTGTGCCATGATATCCTGACATGGGTTTGTCACTTGTCCTCCATTAAAACCTACAGTATTGTTGGCTGGCACTGCATCTCATAATAGTGGACTCTGCCTATGCCATTTTTCATAATATCCCTGCTGCTGTGCTTGAAGTGTTAAATTTAAAGTCACTTCTCTGCAAAATTGAAAGTGTATATGTAAGAGACAGAGACAGAGGCAGTGCAATGCTCTGTTCAATTATTGGACTAGAACAGCGAGACCCTGGTTTGAAATTTGGTTCAAGCAACCCTGGAAGTTCATGAGATGATTTTTGGTCAGTCACTTAGTGACCTACCTCCCTCACCCATCCCCCCAACTACATCACAGATTTGTTGTAGAAGTAACATTGGAAGAGAGAACACTATATGCATCACTGTTTGGTCCTGGAGAAATATAAATCTAATGAATAAATCACTTATTGTTTTATTTCTTTCAGAACCTAATGCAGGTCAGATCCAAGAAGGAATAGGGGAAGCTGTGAACAATATTGTGAAACATTTCCATAAGCCTGAAAAAGAGGTAGCCTCTTAAATATTTGACGTATTAGGCATGTTAGCCGATAACTTTAATGATTGATGGAATGTATTGTACAGGTGGGGCAGAATGATATTTATTTTATATCACATCAGATTCATCATCCTCACAAATAATGAAGTTCATTATCTCATTTTATTAATACCTTATTAGATCCTTGTTAAACAACACTGATCCTGCAGCATATGTCAGATAACTCCATGCATATAGCATACTTATATTTGTACATATCTGAAACTGGCTGACTGAAAGTATGAAATTTACTTAAACTAGTACAGTCTCCAAGGTGCACAAATCTTCCTATCTTTTCAGCTCCAGCTTGTTTATGCATTATGAGGAGCTTAAAAACAATTATAATGGCCCTTAGAGTCCCTAAACAACTACAAACTTTGGTACAAGTTTTGGGCACTTTGTAACAGGAGCCCTTAAACCAATGGAAGATGTATACTCCGGGTGCAAGCAGTTTCTTGTCTCACTGAAATGTGAAATAGCATTTTAAAACAAGGATTGTGCCATCTTACAAACAATTAAGTTTTTCAGGGACATCTGGGTAGGGTGATCAGAACAGTTAAGTTGTGTTCATGCAACTTAAGCCCTGCTTTTATTTACACACACAAACATGCTCACATCATATACCTCATTCGGTTAAATAAAATATTACCCAGCAGGATGTCCACAACATTGGTCAAAAAGATCAAGATGGGAGCAAACCACAAAAAGGATCAGGGTTTCTGTCTGTTGTGTTGTTAAGATACCCTCTTGACTTTTTGGACCCCTCTCTATAGTTGCCCCTTTTGGAGTGCTGTGACTATCACAATTTGCCAGTCTTTAAGATACCACAAGGTAATGTTACTCAGATCACCCCAGCAAACTGCCTACATCTCTTCTACACCTTCATTAGAAAGCAAATGTTTGGAGAATTACACAGTGCAAATTAAACCTCCCTGACCTATCTCCTCAATCCTGTGCACCAAGGAAGGTCATTCTTGGAGACACTCTACCTACATTTCAAAATGAAAACAAATATAAACCCTTATTTGTTCTGGGGCCTTCCTTATCTCCCCTGCACCACAAACATCTTTTTAAGTGATATATAGAATGGTTAAGATAGGCAAGGGAATGGTTGATAATTGGAAATGTATCAGATCAAGAATATACAAACATGTTGTTGAATAGAGGCCTCTTTGGAGTTACTCTGTTCCTCCTCTATTGTTCCTTGGCCTATAGCTTGATCCATTAAAATTTGAGAATCAATTTGTGATTCTGAAAAGTCGTCTTTAATTTTTCTCAAGATTTCATATACTCCGTAGCTTCCAAGATTTTTTCCAATATAAGTTCATAATCAAGCTGTGGGTAAGATTCCTCCATTTCAGTGGTGAAAAAATCTTTTAATCTTTTAGTGGAGGCTATATTTAGTAAGAGTCACAAATATCCACCTCCAATTTCTAATAGATAAATTCACCACCCAGCTGTTCAAGTCCTTTATCTTTTCCCTTTTATTATCATTTGAAGGTCAAAACCATTTTCAAACAGCAAAAAGAAATACAGTTGCAATAACACTTTTCGCCACAAGATGTCCTCAGTAAACTGTAAAATCTTTTTTCCAAGCTAATAAAATTTTATCTCATTAGAAAAATAGAAAAAGAAAAACATCTCCAGCATAATAAGTAGAGTAATAATAATGTTCAATGGTAGAAATTTTTTCAGGACTCCTAAGTATCCAAAATATTAAATAGTCAATAAAAAATTAGCTGTTTTATTTCTTTGGTTTCCAGAGCTCTTTTTCCCAAGTACACAAACGCTGCTCTCTTAAAGCAGGGAAGTAGTTCAAAAGCTTTTTACAGGAAAGTAGTTAGGGTGAAGAGAGGGAAAGAAAGGTCTCACCTGGATTCTCCACGGTGGTTCTTTATGCTTAGCTGTTCTTCTGACTTTTGGCTGGTGCAGCTGGGTGATCGGCCATTTTACTGGCCAATCTTTTCTCCGACGGCCCTAAGGAGCTGGCTTGGACCGCAGAAGGAGCTGCCGCCCTTCCACAGTCAACGAGGGCCTCCTCGACGGTGGTCGCCCCTCCAGGGCAACTTTTTGACCCGATTAAGGGTCTACCAGCGGAGGGAAAACGACCGGCAAAGAGACAAGGCTCTCCACAAGACTGCATACGCCGCGATCCGGAACCGGAAGTCCTTGCAGTTCAGCAATGTGTTATTCTAAATGCAGCAAAACTGTAAATATTTCTGTCAATTTCTAAACAAGATTGGTTTTTTTCTTCTTCCTGTAGCGGGGAAGCCTTACCGTTCTTCTATGTGGAGAAAGTGGCCTGGTGATGGCATTGGAGCAGGTGTTCCATCATGGTTTCAAATCCGCACGTATCTTCCATAAGAATGTCTTCATTTGGGACTTCATAGGTAAAGTTCTGCTTCTTTGGTTCAGCTGGGCTCTGGGCAATAGAGATCCCTTTGAATAGATGGTGGCTAATTGCTGAGATTAGCTAGAGCAAGCCTACTGATAGACTTTAGATATTGTACTGTGCTAAAATGTGGTGGGTTTAGCTGGTGGTTGCTTGGTGTAAACTACAAGTAGTCCTCACTTAACAACTGGACACTTGTTGGCCATTCAGAGTTATGATTGATCCCCAAAGTCACTTACAAAGTTACAACTGTCAGCACCCGGACACGGTCATATGATTGCTTTTCAAACACTTGGTATCTGGCTCATGTTACAACTGGTTGCAGTATTTTGCAGTCATGTAACCACAATTTGCAATGTTTGTTGCTGGTTTCCAACATTTTTTTCCTGGCTTCTGTGAAAAAAAACCCCGCCAATCCAAGAGAATGGATTTGTTTAACAGCCGTATTGTTCATTTAATGACTACAATGACTCACTTTACCACCACAGTAAATGGCACTGAAAAAAGTGACTTACGACCCATTTTTCACACTTAACGACGGTTGCAGAATCCTTGTGGTCATGCGATTAAAATTCAGACGCTTGGCAACTGACTCATATTTATGACGGTTGCAGTGACCCAGGGTCATGTGATCACCTTTTGCAACCTTCTGACAAGCAAAGTTAATGGGGAAGTCAGATTCGCTTAACATTCATGTTACTAACTTAACAACTGCAGTGATTCACTTAACAGTTGTGGCAAGAAAGGTTGTAAAATGGGGCAAAATTCACTGAACAATGTTTCACTTAGCAAGAGAAATTTTGAGCTCAGTTGTGGTCGTAAGTTGAGGACTACCTGTACCACTAAAGGGCAGAAGGTATATTTTGATACTTTTACCATTGGTTGCTGTTGAGGAAGAAGTGATACTTCGGATTTAGTGTTTTTTTAAAAATCAGAATAGTCAAAATGAGTTATTTCTAAGCTAATTCTGTTTTCTGGTGAGTCCTCTGGTTGGGATTTCTTGCCCCACTGCTAACACTGAGAATGAAAGAGACCAATGATAGAGGCATATGGTTTAACTATTTCCTATACCAGGGGCCTTCAAACTTGGCAACTTTAAGACTTGTGGGCTGGCTGGCTGAGGAATTCTGGGAGTTGAAGTCCACAAGTCTTAAAGTTGTCAAGTTTGAAGGCCCCTGTCCTGTACTATAGCCAGAATATCTCCAAATAACTAACGTATCCTGTGTCATAGCTTCTCTTTGTTTAAATAGGTTGTCTTTGCAGAGTGATTCTTAATTTACAGCTCTAGTGTCAAATCGGAGAATGCACAGATTATGTCTGCAGTAGATGCCTTAAGGGTAGTAATTAACTCTAAATCCTTGGCTACAGTGTCTTAATACGTTAGGAATGCATTTATGGATCTAAATTAGCTGTGGCTCTAACACTGACTTTGCTGTCGTTCATAAAATCACTCCATACCTAACTGCAAAAATGTTACTGTAACACTTCCTTACTTAATAAGTATTTGCAAAATGATAATTGCCACAAATAAGTCTATCTTAATGCTGGCTTGCTGGCTAGGTATTAGAGGTAATGCTAAAAGGAATGGAACTCATCATGGAACTGTGCTCAGCTGCATAATTGCATAATTAATATATACCTTGTCATCTTTTCTTGGCTTGAATTGGGTGCAGCACCTCCATTTTTTACAGTACTTCCAAGTAGGTTTATCTTTCTTATACAGGTAGTCCACAACTTACGACCACAAATTTAGCGACTGTTTGAAGTTACAGCAGTGCTAAAAAAGTGGCTTACAATTGGTCCTCACCCTTACGACTGTTGCAGTGTCCCCACAGTCACATGACCGTGATTCAGTGCTTGGCAATTGGCATGTATTTGCAATGGTTGTAGCATATGAGGATCATGTGATCACTATTTGTAACCTTCCTAACTGGCTTCAACAAGCAAAGTCAACCGAGGAAGCTGGATTCACTTAATGACTATGTGATTTGCTTAATGAACATGGCAAAAAAGGTTGTAAAATTGGGCACAACTCACTTAATGACTGCATCACTTAGTGACAGGAGTTCCTGTCCCAATTCTTGTCGTAACTTGAGGACTATCTGCAGGTGTAATTTAATTATAGAGCCCTGGTGGCGCAGTGGTTGGAAAGCAGTATTGCAGGCTAACTCTGTTCACTGCCAGCGGTTCAATCCTGACCAGCTCAAGGTTGACTCAGCCTTCCATCCTTCCGAGGTTGGTAAAATGAGGACCCAGATTGTTGGGGACAATAGGCTGACTCTGTAAACCTTAGAGAGGGTTTAAAACCCTATGGAGCGGTATATAAGTCTTGAATGCTGTTGCTATTAATCTCTTCTGTATGAACTTGCAAAGTGTAGCATCTGCCACCAAATGGACAAGGACCAGATTTTAGTAATGAAGCAAAATATTTCCAGGGCGTGGCTGCCATTTTGCTTCAGCCAGTCCTGCTTTCAGACACTTACTAATGTGGGCAAATCCAGTATATATGTCACTAGGAAAAAGACCAGACTCCTTTGCCATTTTTAAAAGCATTTTTATTTTATAAAATTCCTCTGCTGGCCCAGTCACATGACTGAAAGCATAATGAAATTATAATGAATGAAGAACAATAAGATCATAAACCAAGACAGACAATAAAATCATACAATAAAATAAATACTAAATACATGTAGCCAGTAACATAATATAGCTACAGCACTGTATGACACCCACGTTACTGGTCTTTAAAAGAGCTTTAAAAACAGGGCTCTTGCTCCATGCCTTGGGTTAGGATGCTTGATGGTCTTTTTGCCTGTTTTTATCTCTGCTGGTGGGGTAGAGAGTTGGTTGCTGTTCCCTCCAGATGCTTTTGTTTATTTTTATATAAGAAGCTACTCAGAGTCACTTGAATTGGGCGGCCCAGAAGTTTCATAAATAAATCAACTTCTCCCCCTTTAAAATTTAATCTAGGAATAGGTATTTCAGTAGCTGCTCCATTCCTTCCCTCCCAATCCATCTGGCCCCCATGCCAGTTTGTAAAAAATACAAACAAACAATAACATAGCAAATCCAACCAAAAGCAAGGGATTGTTATAATGGGATGAGTTGGCTGTGTGGGAAAGATGTCTTACTCTCTTAGTCCCTGGAGATGAAGATAGAGCCAAGAGAAAAGAGATAATTACTTCATGAAGCCAAAAGGCAAAGCTTCAAATCATATTATAGCACAAAATTATGTATCACCTAGGTCACACTGCTGTTTAAGCCTGCATTACTTTTAAGCCTGCATTACCAAGAAAAGCTTTTGTTTGAATGCCTTGCAAAAATCTAAATGCATTTTACCTGAAAATAAACTCAAGGGCCTGCTTAATCTCTTAGAAATTTTGAGTTCTGTGAAGGCTTAGAAGCAGCACTGAGTTCAGTGGAAACTATATTTTGTGCCTTCGATTCATTTCTAAATAAATGTGTTGAGTAGTTGAAATAATTTCAGAAAGGCAAGTGTAGTGTGAAAGGCAAGAGGCAGGGACACTATTGGAACACTGCTTCTTTAATCAAGTGACTTTTCTGGATAAAATAACAAATTCACTAAGATACTATTCTGGGTTTGGTGACTTCATTCTCTCTTGTCCATGTTCAGAAAAAGCTGTTGCCTATTTCGAGATGACTGACCACATTGAAGACAACGAAGACAATGTCGTTCTTCAAAAATCCTCTCGCAAAACCTTTTGCCACTATGTCAGTGCCATCAATACTGCTCCGCGGAACATAGGGAAGGACGGCAAATTCCAAATTCTTGTTTGCTTTGGAACTCGGTATGTAGAGATGTAAACATAAAAAAGCATTTTGAAATGAGCTGCACCGTAAAAAAGTATAATGGTATTGAACAATGGAGGCAAGAGTTCTCAGCTTTGGTGGCTGACTCAGTTCATTTTCTCAAAAAGTTGCTATGATGGTGACAAGTTGGAGGAAGGTGTACTATGCAAGCCATCTTATATTCCTGAAAGAAAAGTAGGCTGTGAATCTTTCAAATAAATATGTGACTTTCTTAGTACAAACTGATGTCACAATTGTAGGGATTTGCCTAGGACTTCTATGGCATCATTTGAATTAGGATTTTGAAAGCAAGTTTTTTTAAATAGGATTTTTCATTTGATTTTTCAAATGATAATCTATAACTTCTATTTGCCTTTTCTTAAAAAATATCATTTACTATATTACTTTAAGGGTTGTCAGAAATTGTTGCTGTATTTTAATATCAGTGAAGTATTTTGCTGTCTTCAGGTATCTTTCTAGGTTGTTTAGACCTCGTTAGGAAAAATAGATTTACTGTCAAAAACATAAGTATCCCATATTGAGTATAACAAATACTCTTGAATCCCTGTTCTTCCAAGGGGAAAAAAAATCCAGATATCCTATCCAGATAGAAACAGTCAAATGCCTTTATTTCCTTGAGAGAACGAAGAGTTGAGTATACTGGTTGGAAAATATTTCTTGCCACTGTGGCCAGATGATAGAGATGACCAGAAGATAAAGCGCCAGTTTGGTCTAATGGTTGAGGCTAGAAAATGGGAAACTGTGAGTTCAAGACCTGCCTTAGCCATGAAAGCCAGCTGGGTGACTTTGGGTCCGTCACTCTCAGCCCAACCAACCTCACATGGTTGTTGCTGTTATGGGGAAAATAAGAGGAAGAAGGTGCATGTTTGCCATCTTATTTGTAAAAATAGTAAGAGGCAGGATACAAATAGATGAGGGAGTGAATGAATGCAGAGGGCACAGCCACAACCAGGACAATGTCAGATTAAAGATATCTGAGTCTGGGGCAGGAATGAAACCTGAGTAAATGTCTCAGACATGACCCTCCTTAGTTCGCACAAAGAGTGAGGGAGGGGGAAACACATTTACACTTGCAAGTTTGTGTTACTGTAGATTTCCAATAAAAGTAGTCCTGACCTACATAAAATTGCATCCCTAGTATGATCTACCTTGAAAGGGTCACATCAGCAGCTACGCTTTTCCCTTTCCTGTATTATCAGAGGTACCAAAATGCAAAAAAAAAGATGGATAACTCAAAAATAGCATTTATTGATAAGCCGTATGCATTTCAGCCTATCCCTAGGTTTCCACATGATGCGTTAATATGTTATTAGCAAAAACAGCAGAATAAAGGGGACTTCCGAAATTGATTGCCTGAATGCATTGCACAATCCTCTTTGACCAATGGCTTCTTGGCATCCAGTCTTAAATCATGTTTCTTACTACTTAGATGCAGTCTGGTAGCCAGGATTTTTTTTTTTTTACAAAAAAAAAATAAAAAACCTAAATCCATTTTGCATCTTATGCAAACAATTGTGCCTCTCGCTGTACCTGATACAACTTGGTGATACTTTCTCTACAGGGATCATTTGATTGCCCAGTGGATTCCATTATTGGCAGAATGTCCCCCGCTTAGTCGGATGTATGAAGAAAATGCTCTTCTGCGCGATCGCATGATGGTTAACTCCCTCATCCGAGTCTTACAGACACTGCAGGACTTCAACATTGTCTTGGAAGGGTCACTCATAAAGGGGGTGGATGTGTAACATCTAGCTCGCAGACAACTTTTGTCTCTTCCCCCGCACACTTCTCTCCTTTCCTTGGCCAATGAAATGTGTCACCTGGGGAGAGGGCAGAAATCTGTGAAAATGGAATTGATGGTGATCCTATCCTGCTCTATGTTTAGATCAGCTTGTTGGTGAATGGAAGTGGCTGTGACAAGACTCACACACGCATGGTCTTCATACTGATCTGCCCCAACACTGCAAAGGAGCTCAGTTGTAGTATCATAGTTTTCAAATGAGAGGTTTTGTATAAAAGAGTATTTTCATGTGTTGATTGTGTGTAAATAGGCTATCTTCCTTTAGAAATGCTAATTTTTTTTCTTAGAATCAGTGTTCTAGGGCCAGGAGTGGGGATGTAGCTTAAAACAACTTTGTAGGGGAAGGGAAGGAAGCATTACTTGCGCAAAAGGGAGAGGGGGAAACCACTTCATGTTGTAAATATTGTACAAATGTAGTGGGGGTGGGGGAAGGCTCTGTTGCAAAGGTAGCCACCGCTGAACTTCTCGTGAGTCTACATTGTTTGCCCCTTCCCCAAATATATGTTGATCTCTTGTTATACCATTTACTGTAGATTCAAACTTTTTGTCTGTGCACTGAAGCATCTCCAGGTCATATAGATTCTTCATCTTCCTGATGGATCTTGTCAAGTTAGCTCAAGGAGTCAATTATTTTTAATCCTGAGCAATCCCTGTACCACGAACAGGAAGATGTTTTAGAGATTTTGCCATTGGAGATGATAAAAATAGAAGAAAAACAGTATTAATAATTGTATCTGTTAATTACATGTTCAGTTTCCTTATTCTGACCACAGACATATTCCTGCTTTTATTTTGGGGGGCTAACAATGCTTCTTCCACATTACTTTCTTGAAAGAGTAGAAAGAAAACTTGGAAGAAAATGTGATGCTTTGCCATCAGCAATTTAGATAAGAGTTCCTTCAAATGATTTTGAATAGATAAAGACTGCAATCAATCTAAGCTGTGCTTCATTTCAAGTTCAGTTTGTTGTATAAGTTTGAATTAGCCTTGCAGAATTGCAGAACAGGTTTATTTTACCTGGTTTATTTATTTTCTGGGTTTTGCTCTTTTTGCACTGTGGCAGATTGATTATATTTGGACAAAAACAAACCAGGAATAAGCTAGGAAAAACCATACCATGCAGGCCTGTTAACATTCCAAACCACAATAAAAGAGTAATAAACTATACCCAGTGCCCTAAATTAACCACCATTTAGCCCTCAACTCCACTTATATGTCATGACCACCCAAAACCAAATCATTATGCATTTAAGTAATGTGTGTGAATTCAGCCCATAAACCTGTGTCTATTCCCTCTCCTGTATTTAGAACAGTGGCATTTTGCACATTGCTTTACTATATTGGAGAACTTTCCTATTTGATGGTGTGCTCATATTCTCCTCAGATTCCACACATGAACAAAAGCCTTGCCACAAAAATTGTAGATAAGACCCCACCCACATCTGGTTATTATGTAGAAACAGCTTTCCACGCAGAAAAGATTAACTTTTAAAGCCAATAGTTACATTACTGTACCTGTGTGGTTTGGGAACTAGTTCTCCATTGCTCCTTAACACACCATTCAAAGAAGATAAGGCACATACAGTCATTGGGGAAGCAATGGTGGGACAGGAAATGGACTGCAGTGTAATTTCTCCCATGTGATCCTAGCATCCACAAGTTACCCTGGGAGGCATATACAAGTGCATACAATTCATTGCAAGGGAACGTGAAACTGGCTTTTGAAGGCCAACAACTTCAAATCCATCGGGGGTAGGGGTAAAAGAACCTACACACAGCTACTGCAGGAACAAAGCAAGCATCCAATTATTCCTTACTCTGAACTTTATCCCACAGTGATCAGAAACTAGATCCTGAAATACCACAAGGAACCTCAAGTAGATCCCTGCGTAATATTGATGCAGATCTGACAAGATTCTATAGTCATTTGTCCAATGAGCTAATTAAAGCTGATGAGAAGTGTATGTGTAGGAGTTACATCATTTTCCTTACTCAATACTATACTTTTCAAGATTAAGTTTTTGAAACTTCAGCTCTTGGCTTTAACCTTCTCATAAGCACTGAGAACTATTGTAATTTGGCAGCAATCCTCACCTTACTCAGACAGGAAAGACTTCAGACTGTGAGTCTATTTAATCTCCATTTCACCTTTTTATATTTCTGGAGGTTTTCTTATTTAATGCTTCAAAAATGAGGATCCAGACTCAGATGGAGAAAAGAAATAGAGAGGCTGTCAAAAATACCGATAATATGTTTTACTTTTTTGCATGTTACAAAACTGCCCCAAAGCTGGATCCTAAGGCTTGTTTTCAATAGTATGGCATTAAAAAAGGCTACTGCTATTTGGGTGACTCCATTCATTCCAGATGAACCAGGAAGAGAGCTGGATTGCTCACCAAATTTCTGCCCCATTTTTGCATCCATGGCTCTTGTTTGTAATTCCTGTTCTGCTGATAAGACATTGATGTGAACAATGTTAAATGCATTATTCTTGAAAGTCACAGTCCAACATCTTCACTTGTATGTAGTGCTCAGTATCTTCCCTGACAATGTAGTTTCTGTTTCACAGCATATGAATGGTGGTGTGCAAGGAACATTATGTACAGTATATTCTTTTTAGGCAATAAAGTACTGTATAAACTATGTAGTATTATTACATCCTTGAGGTATTTTTGAAGCATGGGATTGACCTCTAATAGACTAGTCTGTTTGATGACTTCAGGAGTGCAGTTTTTGGTGACTTCTTACCTATAGCGTGCAGCATTTTTCCTCCTTTAAACAGGCAGTGCTGATCACTTGGGCCCAAGTGATTCGGTCTGTCAAAACATTCAGAAATCATGAAGAGTTAATTCTCAGAACGGCAAGGCTCGTGCTTTCTAAAATTTAATGCATCCTATTAATATCAGTGTTAACCGGCTCTTAATTTTTAGAAGCTGAATACTTAAAATTACCAAAGCTTTCTGTTAACTTACAAAGTAAAAGGAAGAATGCTATGTTTTTTCTTGTATTGCTATGCTAGCATAGTTCTTTTTTAAAAAAAAAACAAGAACACTAGAGAGAACAGAATACAATTGAGAAGTAGATTAATATGTAACCATAAAGTAATTGTTTTAAATTGCAAACCTTGCCACTGCAACCCATTTGCTCAAAAGGTAAGTTTCACTGTGTTAAATGAAACTGCCCTCCGAGTGAAGACTTTTGGGTTTGTGCTGTTAATTGCCTCTTCTGAATATGTTTTAAGACTATGCTTGTGATTTTTTCATTGATATCCACCCTCCTCCCCAAGCAAAAGTGTCTATCACATAAGGAAAATGTTGTGTGTTAAACTTGAAATGTACAAAATACCTGGTGTAGTTACTAAATAATTCATTTTCCCCAACCATTGTTTCTTCAGAATATGTTGCTATTTTATCTTTCACATTAGTAGATTAATCAAGATTGGATAATATTCAGGAAATGAATATTGGTTGAAAAGTATTATTTCAAGCACTTTAGCATACATATCACAGACTAAAGCGGGTTTGTTTTTGTCCAGGGTTTGGATTAAAACGAAATGCAGCTTTTCATGCAATGGTCTTTACAAATAAAACTGTGAGAATAGCAAAATGTGTCCTGTGCGGTTTGTTACCCTAAACAAAAAAAGAAACCAGAAAAAGAATTGATATGCTGAGAATTCTGGAATATTTATAAGGTTTATAAATCACCTCGGCAATACACAAGATCAAACCCAGTAAAAAAAAACACTAATATATAAACATCTGGTTCAGATTACAGGAAGACTGGAAACTCTGTTCTGGATTATTTGCTGTTGATCTGATGAAGAGGTATTAAAAGTCATGCAACATATGTACAATTTATTTGAATAGCCCACACAATGATAATACAGAAATTACTAATGACATGTTAACTTTGGAAGAATTAAATAATGGATATGAAAGTTATTAAAGGCTAGAAATATATTGCAGGAAGACAGAATATTTTAAATCCTTTGTTTCAATCTTTCTAATGAAAGACTGACATGGCTAGTTTCCATGTTGTATTAATCTGTTTTTAACTGTGGTTTGTTAAAACTAATTGCATAGGGTTTCAGCAGACATAAAATGGGTGGATTTGCGAATCAGTGATCAGCCCCATGAACCAAGCCATTGTTGTGTTAATCCAGTTTTACCATTTGCCATTTAAATTACCATTTCTGAAGGTTTTCTACTTTCATTTTTCCAAATTTATACATTGCCAAGTTCCAGTTGCTGATGGCTGTGCTTCAGCTCATAAAAACAGGCCATTTGTATCCATTTGCCCATAAACACAGAAGAGCTTTGAATGAGCTCATATTTCAAAGCTGACATGTGATTGATGGGTGTTTTGTAGAGATGATGCCCTCATAAAATAGGTAAGGTGATATTCGACTGGTCAAATGCTTAGAAGAGACATCATTTGACATAATGTTGAGACAATGGAGAGCAAGCACATTGTCAGGATTTTATTTAATTATATTTTAAAACTAACTTTGATATTACTCTTGCAACTAAATTAGCTTCCTTTTTGTGAGGTTCTAATTTATTTTCCCAATTTAGCCAATTTACTTTTAGAATTCCTAAGTGGCATTCAAGTTCTAACCAGGCCCAAATTTTGCTTTGCTTCAAAGTTTAGTCTACATTGGTCAAGTGCTAAAATCTTGCAGCCTGCAGTCCCCAGAACAGGTGGAACAATCTTTTTGCAGAGTGCAAGTCTTGCTTAAGTACCCATTTCATTCATTAAGCCCAATCAGAGTTCCCCAGAATTGACTCAGTCCCTCCTGAGTTGTACGTATGTGCAAGTATGTTTTAAGGAGCAATCACTTCACCTCCTTAAAATCCTCTTGACCCCAAAGCTTTCACCCTAAAAGGAATCCAGAATTTGATCCACTCATTGCAATGAAACAAGGAAGCAAACTTAGTATTATGTTTTAGCGCAGTGGTTCTCAACCTTTTTAATGCCGCGACCCCAACCGGTCGT